TGCAGGAGTTCGAAAAACCATGTCTTTTGGCTGAGGCAAGAGGCCAGGGGACGGCCCCCCGTCTCTACGTGATAATAGAAAGAAATGTAAAGCTGGCAAGCTGAATGTTATATAAAGAAAAAAGAAATTAGCCAGGCGGATGTTTTTGTTTGTGTGCGATGGGCCTGTGAGGTGCCGGCAGGTACTCGGGACTGTAGGGAGGAAAGGATTGCGTTGAGGCGCCGGAGTTGGAGGGGTTGCTTTTTTTTGTATGCTGAGGCTGACACCACAGTATCCACTCTAGGACGCGTGGCCAACAAAGTGAGACTCGGTGTCTCAAAAAAAAGAAAAAAAAAATAGAAAAGAAGGATGTGGTTACAATCTTTTAAAACACAATGAATATTGATAAACAAAAGGAATATGCTTTGAGAGATGCTTTAAATAAAGAACCATAATATTATTCTCAAAACAGATCACTGCATAATATTCAAATCAAAGTGTTTTTACCCTCAGGGACAGATTCAGCCCACCGTGGATCAGAAGCTGGGTAGTCATCCACCAAGTCTACACTGATTTGGGTAACAGCCCTGTCCAGTTCAGAATCAGAATCCAGATCAGAGTGAGAGGCAAACAGCTCGTCAACCATCATTTGAGCATGACCTAAATCTTTTCTGAAACAAAATTTGAAAACACAAGTATTACGGGAGGCAAAACATTTTCGAAACTCATCAAAAAAAATTAACTGTGTAGTTAAAGTCTGTCCCATTTATAGGTTTTAGCATAAAGTTACTTTTAACAAAATTTATTTAATTGAAAGGGAGAAAATTATTATGTATTTGTTAATTCAACATATACATACAACATGCCAGGCACTGGACACAGAATAACAGAAAGACATTAAAAACAGTCCTGGACATCACAAAGTATATAGTGTCACAAGGAATCAGATAATTAAGCAAGCAATGACACATATGTGTGATAAACAGTAGGACAAGGAAAGATCAGAGGGCTATAGAGTACAAGAAAGGACACTACACTGACCAGAGGGGCAGGGAAAACTTCCTAACAGGAAAAGAGGTCAAGCAAGGCTGGGGAGAATTTGTGGAGGGGTACACAGTTGCACACAGAACATACATCCATGCCTGTCAGCAAGCAAGCCTGTATCTCAGGACAGAACTGAAGCCAAGGGAGAGTATGAGATCACACACTGTGGAATTTGAACTCCTGACTTCGAGCAATCCACCCGCCTCGGCCTTCCAGAGTACTAGGATTATAGGCGTGAGCCACCGTGCCCGGCCGAATAATGTATTTTTAATCTACAACTGGTTGAAAAAAAAAAATCTATGCATAAATGAACCCACACGGGTTCAAACTCATGTTCTTCAAGGGTCAAATGTATATTGTTATTGTTCTATTTTATTATTAGTTATCGTTGTTAATCTCTTACTGTGCCTAATTTTTAAAATTTTTTTTTGTTTCTTTTTTCGTGCTTAATTTATAAATTAAACTTTATCATAGGTAGGTACATACAGGAAAAGGGGTTTAGTACTATCTGAGGTTTCAGACATCCATGGGGGGGGGTCTTGGAACACACCCCTGGGGGCAGGTAGGATGACTGTAAGGCTGACTCAAGTGATTTTGCTCTGACCAGTGAATGGGATGGTAATGTTCGTCACTGGTACAGGAAGCAGAGGAGTGAGAATAAACTTTGGAGAAGACAGGTTCAGTCTGGGATATGTTAAAACTCAAGTGCCTATGAAATATATAATTGCTTTTGGACAGTGTCCATTTGCATATAGTGACCCAGGTCATGACAGACCTGTGTTTCTTCAGCAAATGAAGCCAAAGGAGGAGAAGAGATCATTCAAGGAATAGAGAGAGAGAGGAATGTGGTAGACAGTAGAAAAGGCAAGCAGCCTCTTAGGCAGTTTAGCTATAAACAAGAACAAACACATAAGGTGGCAGAGCTCAAAGGAGACATGAAGTTCACGAACAGTCTTTTAAAAAAAATGGCAGGCCGGGCGCTGTGGCTCACGCCTGTAATCCTAGCTCTTGGGAGGCCGAGGCGGGCGGATTGCTCAAGGTCAGGAGTTCAAAACCAGCCTGAGCAAGAGCGAGACCCCGTCTCTACTATAAATAGAAAGAAATTAATTGGCCAACTGATATATATATAAAAAATTAGCCAGGCATGGTGGCACATGCCTATAGTCCCAGCTACTCGGGAGGCTGAGGCAGGAGGATCGCTTGAGCCCAGGAGTTTGAGGTTGCTGTGAGCTAGGCTGACGCCACGGCACTCACTCTAGCCTGGACAACAAAGTGAGACTCTGTCTCAAAAAAAATAAATAAATAAATAAAAAAATAAAAAAAATGGCAGATTAAATATGGTTAACTGCTGAAAAGAAGCAACTAGCCCAAGAACGGTCAAAGACAGAGGAAAGGAATAACTGAAGGAATGTAGTCTCAAAAGAAGCAAGAGAGAATGACACTCAAAACAAAGACAAAGAGATCAGTCTTTATCAGGAGGGAAAGAGGAAAAGTTGGGACATGGATACATTTGTAGGCAGTAAATGCAGGGAGTTCTTATCTGATGCTTCTGTGATCTTTGTGAAGTAAGAGGTTAAGTTATCTGCTAAGTGGGAAGGAGGAGGAAGAGAACTGGGAAGTTGGAGGAGATTAGAAAAGAGCTAAAATTATCTCTTGGTAGAACAGGACACAGAGCTGACTTGAGAAATGCCAAAAAACTGCCTGAAAGTATGAAAGGTCGGGGTGAAACTGGCAACCTAGTCATGCCATAGATTATGGGAGTACAAAGGTGACTGTGGTAAGATTTAATCTAATTACAGAGTAAGTTCCCTAAAACTTCCATGAATAGATTTTTATATTTATATTTTTTTGTTAAGTAAAATGAAAACCAAAATAATATAAAAATTAATTTCAAAGAAAGTATGCCACGAAAATAGTAATATTACCTTGGCAAAAAAATAAACAGATAACACTTGATGTTATCTACCAGTTTTGACCAGAAGGGGCATTTGGCAATGTCTGAAGATAACTTTGGTGGTCACATGGGGGGGGGAAAGGGCGCTACTAACATCCAGTAGGAAGAGGCCAGCAATGCTCCTAAACAGCCCATAACTAACAGGACAGCCTCCACGACAAAAAATTATCTGGCCTCAAATGTCAACGTTGACAGGGTTGAGAAATCCTGCTTTGAAGGTACCACAATTCTGCTCGTAATGATCGCTGGTTAAGTGATGGCTCCTTACACACACAGTAGCTCACCCATGCTGGGCCCGATGAGTCTAGTACAGCTGTGCTAGGGGGCCAGTGACGCTGTTCCTGAGGTTACCACTCGTGCAGGACTTAGGTCAGGGGTCCCTTCTTGTACCTAATAGTCTTCCCTTATAAAACATTTAAAAATGACTACACTGGGTTGACTAGTGTCCCCCCCACACAAATTCATGTCCAACCAATGCCTCAGAATTTAACCTTATTTAGAAATAAGATTTTTTGCAGATAAAATCAGTTAAATTAAGATAAGGATTAGAGTGGGCCCTAAATCCAATGCCTGGTGTCCTTATAAGAAAGCCATGTGAAGACAGCTGTGTGGAGACAAGGCCACGTGACGATGGAGGCAGAAACTGGACTGATGCCTCTGCAAGCCAAGGACTGACACAACTACCAGAAACTAGGAGAGGGGCAGGGAAGGATTCTTCTCCAGAGCCTTCAGCAGGAGTGTGACCCTGCAGACACCTTGATTTCAGACTTCTTGCCTGCAGAACTGTGAGAATGAATTTCTGTTGTTTTAAATCAGATTAATTTAATTACTCTGGATTAAATTGGGTAATTTAAGACAAATTACCCAGTTTGTGGTAATTTGTTATGGCAGCCACAGGAGACTAATACAATGACTGTGGTGACTTACTGAATTAGCATTTACATTCTGAGATGCCACATCTGACAGAATTGTAATTAGAGGATAAACTTGCGCAAGATAAAATCACATTTTTTTAACCCAAATCTTTCTAGTAAGATTGAACCTTGTAAACGAACAAGATTTAAAGGATATGATTTAAAACAAAAACAAAAACTTGCCCAATGGTGCCCCCTTCTGGACAAGAAACTAAGCTCAGTAGACCATAAAGAGGCACAGACTAGCTGGGGCGGTGGCTCACGCCTGTAATCCTAGCACTCTGGGAGGCTGAGGCAGGCAGGTAGCTAGAGGTCAGGAGTTTGAAACCAGCCTGAGTAAGAGCGAGACCCCATCTCTACTATAAATAGAAAGAAATTAATTGGCAAACTAATATACATAGAAAAAATTAGCTGGGCATGGTGGCGCATGCCTGTAGTCCCAGCTACTTGGGAGGCTGAGGCAGTAGGATTGTTTGAGCCCAGGAATTTGAGGTTGCTGTGAGCTAGGCTGATGCCACGGCACTCACTCTAGCCTGGGCAACAAAGTGAGACTCTGTCTCAAAAAAAAAAAAAGAGGCACAGACTTTTAAAACTAAAAGGACTTTGGCATCTGTCATCTCTGCCAGTGAGCCACTATGCATCAGATACCACTACGAGTGGGATTATAGAATCGTGCGCTGAGGACTAGGAGAAACTCAGCATATTTCTTCAAGACAAAGATCGGACAGATAAACTAATGATCCTTCATCCATTCCAACTTCTATCCCACTCAAGACTTCAAAAAGGAAGAAACAGAACACACCAGAAACATTAAACAATCTGTCCAAACTTTCCCACAACCAACTAGGGGCAGTACAAGGACTGGGTCACAATTTTCCTGTTTATGCATATATGAATTTACCACACCTTTTAAGGAAGGTGCCAGAATACATGGAATTGCAGAAAACATGTCTAGGATAAACCGAAATCTGCATTAGCCTTAAACCCCGAAGAGCATTAGATCAGCAAGCATGACAAGGTGCAATCATTCTTGGCCCCCACACACATCTGCTTAAACACCCTCCCACTATGGTTTGCACCAGTGACTTGTTCTGGCCAAAAGGACACGAGCACAGATCTGAAGAGTACTGGTGCACTGATGCGGCTCTCTTGCCACTCTAGAACCCTACAATATGTGAACAAGCCTGGGGCAACCTACTCGATGAAGAGAGGCCACATGAAGCAGAGAGAGCGCTGGTCAGCCAAGGCCCAGAAATGTGAGTCCAGTCAAGGGCAGCCAGCCTGTAGCTGACCAGTGAGTGAGCCTAGCTGGCACCAGTAAAACTGCCCCCCGAGCCCAACTCCACATAGCCAAAATGCAGAATCATGAGCCACATTAAATAAGACACTAAGTTCTGTGGGGATTTTGTATACTGCAAAACCCAACTAATAGGCCAAGTCTAATTCTTTTGTATTAATGAAACTTTGTCTGCAACTAATTTGTGCCTTAACATTACACTAAAAGACCCTTGCAGTACGTCTTCAGGAACACTGTTTTTAATGGTACATTGTTTTTCATAAAGTTGAGAAGGTATGTGAGAGCATACATTCCTAGCCCAGCTAGCTGGAACCCTGCCATGGTTACCAAGTTCAGAAGAAGAGCTTAAGTGCTGAAGCTCAGAAACACATTCTCCTCTTGATGGCAACATTTCTCCAACTTGTTCCCACCAGTCAACAAATAAGTAGTGTATGTCAGTAAAGAAAGCCATAATTTTAAAAACTCATTATACCTGCAGTATTGCAGAAAAGCAGCTTTTAGCAACTTGGTTTTATCTTCCTGTGCTATAGTTTCATTCTTTGTAGTGGTCTCAAAAACCATACTCTGTAGAACAACAAACCATAGTTAAGAGGTGAAGGTATATGAACATTCTTAATTACTGGACTAAAACCTGGACTCACCCTATGACAGCAACAACACATATACACAAGCTGTTTACCAAACTGCCTATACCAATTGTTTACATACTTACTGAAACACTACAAACAGTACCAAATGATCAAAGTCCTTTAAAAAAGGTACAGGATAATTCAGAGATTATGGTGTGATTAAATTTATTTGGAGATTTCATCATAGCCAATAGAAGCTTTTTATAGGTTTGCTCTTATACAACTCATCACAATGTAGACTACCTAAGCATAATGATTGATTACAAATTTAAACAAGGATATAGAAAAATGTTAAAGAAATGGAATAGCATAAAATAATTTCAGAACGTTTAACAGTATTACAATAACCATGATTACAAAAGACTCAAAACAAAAAAAGGTTATTTTCTGTTGAAACTATACCAAATTTCTTTAATTTTGAGTTATAGATGTAGTCTACATATTTTATATATTATTCAAATGGAAATTACTCCAAACAGTATTAGTCTCCTGTAAAAGAATGATAAAAATTTTATGGGTGGGGTATTTTAGTTTCAAGATGACATAAAGAAAACTGATGGGTTTTGCCCCAGTCTTCCTCTCACGAATCCCAGAATAACATGAAGACACAGAAACACAAGCTCCACAGAAGCATCTGTGATTCCAACCACAACAGAGGAAGATAGAAACCACAAGAAGGAACACCAAATGGCAGAGCTGAGAAGAGACGAGGCAGATCTACGTGTGGTACAGGGGTTAGGTCCTGAGGAGGATTTGGTGACAATGGAAATGAGAAGTTCCAGGATGACAGCTGTGCAGATGTAAAGTTTCTTGAGATTTGACTATGGGAAAAACTATACTGACAGGCATTTTATAGAACTGTTAGAGGGTGTAGGAAGATTAAGTCAGAGATTAAAGGAAAGCAAGCAAATATCAAATGAGGTCATTATACATTCCAAGAGTCACACAAAGTTGTATAATAAAGGAAATATAATCAATATATTACTTGGGTCAGCGAACTATAAATAATACTCATATTGTCATTATAATGAAAAAAATTTATGTTGGAATGACAAAGGCAGAGAAAGAAGTATAAGTTAACCCCAAATCTCATCTTCTATAGTAGGAAATCAATTGATATCTAAAACTGATGAATCAGGAAACTGTAATATATGCACATTACTTAGTAATATGGACAAAAACACCAAAATAGCTAAAGGCTTAAAAGTATCTGTTTCTGAGAAAGAGGACATAGGAGATAAAGAGAACTAATATTTTCATGTCTTTTAAAACTGTCCAACTTTTTAAAAAAATTATGTGAAATAACTCTGATAAATATAAACATTTAAAAATTGTATGGAATCACATCACCTCGTTGTTTGGTCCAGCAACTGAAGATGCCAAGGAATCTTCCAGGTCTTCTGCTAATATGGAAGCATTTTCCCTCGAAGTAATAGACACTAGTCCACTGTTTCTAGAAAAAATGATTGGAACACCACCACAGGAACCAGCACCTAAAATACTATCTCCTAAAAGAAAGAAAAAATACATAGTCAAATACTCATAACCAAAAAAAAAAAGCCTTCTAAAACCTATAACGCTAAGCAGAAAATCTTTATGATATATTAAGAATATATATATTTTTTCCTTTACATTATTCCTACTTCAAACTCAGCTTTTTAATCCCAGAATCAAATGTCAAGAAGCAAGTTCTGGCCAGGCATGGTGGCTCACGCCTGTAATCCTAGCACTGTGGGAGACCAAGGCGGGCGGATTGCTCGAGGTCAGGAGTTCAAAACCAGCGTGAACAAGAGGGAGACCCCGTCTCTACTATAAATAAAAAGAAATTAATTGGCCAACTAATATATATAGAAAAAATTAGCCAGACATGTGGCACATGCCTGTAGTCCCAGCTACTCGGGAGGCTGAGGCAGCAGGATTGCTTGAGTCCAGGAGTTTGAGGTTGCTGTGAGCTAGGCTGATGCCACGGCACTCACTCTAGCCTGGGCAACAAAGAGAGAAAAAAAAAAAAAAAAAGCAAATTCTGTGTCTTTCAGCTTTAAGGACAATTAAAACTACCCTTACAAGAGACTGGTGTCTAGCAAGCCAAAAAAGAAAATTATTCATTCTGCAAAACTCAGAATAAGAGCTTTCTCAATGCTGTAGAGGCCTTTTGCCCAATTCTGACTTTACTTACCAGGTCAGTCAATGGGGATAAAAAAAATTCTAAGCTTGCTCAGTGCCTTAATGACATCTTATTCACCCACTGCCAAGATTCTTGTGCTGGGAATAGAAAACCTGGGCTCTACCTTGTTGCCTCACCTAAATTCTGTCCTCTGCCCAACCACTTAAGATAAATATCTACTTGGCTTCTTTTCAGTCCTGACCAGCCCCTCCTGAACAAGTCCAGCACTTGGGACCCTTCTCACTCAAGGGTCTGGACAAACTAAAGAGCATCAACCTAGAGTAAGTCACTCTTACTAACTAGGAATAAGCAATTACTTCTCTTAGTGCCAGTTCTTTCCTTCTTGGCCTCATCTCCTGGGACAAATGTTACTATTTTTTTTTTTTTGCCCATAAATATAATATTTTGGGAATTCTGCCACCTGTTTGGTTTTTCAGTAGGGTTGTGGCTTCAGGGCTGTAGGTGTGGTATTAAATGTCTTAGTAACCCTCAGAGGCAGCATGCTTGAAGCAACACTCATGAAAGACAAAGAAAAAGAACAAAAACCACTCAGAATAACTAATGAGCTCACTAGTCATGCTTTCTAAAATTGGTACTATACCTTGTATATTGAAGATAATTTTCTCCTGGGGAAGAGAAAATTTCCCAGTTCCTGTGGAGCACACATAGACAGCACTTTCATTATACAGATAAGCAGTCTGGTTTGAAAAGTTTGGGACCATCAACCGACACATAATCAGATCTTCACACTGAAAGTTAAATTTAAGATAACATTTAATGAGAATTGACACAAAATTATTTGTAGAATTTTATAATTTGTTTTTATATATTAGAACATAAAAATGATAAAATGATATTAATAATTCACTAATTCTCCTTGTGAAAACCTAAACACTGCCCATGAAATGATTAATAAAATATGATGGAGTAAGTTTATAAACATCATTAGACAAATCATTTGTTGAGATGCAAATAATGAACAATTTTCAAAACTTTCCATGGTGATAGACTATAACTAGACTCCTACAACAAGTTGAGAGAGAAAGTAAAAGCAAAATTCATTACATTATTTAAGAATTGGCCAATTTTTATAAATGACCCGATAAACATTTTGGTTACTTGCTGTCAATATCAATCACAAGAAAACTTAGTTGATTTATTCATATATAAAATTAGAGGCAGAAATAGAAATAAGACCTAAATGATAAATTAGCAAATGCTAAAAAGATAATGTTATTAAAGAGGTAATTTACAAACAACCATTAAGAGATCTAGAATTTTTTATTTTCAATTGTTTTCTTTTTGTCATTCTGCATTGTCTGAAATTTAACACTGAGCATGTCTTCTTGCACAATCAAAACACAGGATACAAGTTTGTCTGTTTGAATAAAAGAACAAATTAAAAGATTTTCTTACAGGATTCGGGTTAAACAAGTCATAATAAGGATTAACAGAATTATATACATAAAGTTAAATGAAATGATTTACAGCGTTAAGGCTTTCCTCAAGATAATCACAGTTAATGTTTGTTCATTAATAAGCTTAAAATAGATAGCGTACCTTTTAATTATTTACAAGAACTTTGATGAATATATAAAACTATTGCCTATAAATAATCCTACTTTGGCCAAAAAAGTTATTTTTCTATATACACAGGGCTCAAAACCAAACCCAATTCCTACCAGGTTTTCCTCTTACTTTCACCCTGCGGTTCATTATCAATACTTTCTTTTACTTAATAACATAGAAATAATAACCCTTCACAGAAGAAGAAACAAACCACTTGCTGCTGGTTGCTTCCACTCATTTTTCTTTCACTAAAGCTGAGCAAAGGAACAAATGTGATAGGAAAGAAAATGCAACAATGCTTAAAAACAAGCTATTTGAAAATATTGTGAAGCCCTACAGATGAATCTTTCAACAAATTTGACTTTGCAATGGTTAGGAAAAAACAATGTATCAATGCCACTTTGTGATTTAATTTACAGATATAAATCTTACCTGAAAAGGTGGATTATATTGAGTGACTTCTACAGTGACTGTCTCTGACATTTGATAGCCATTATCTTCTACTGTTATCAGAGAGTAATAGATGAGACATGGATTGTCTGCTGGGTGCCATGCTGCTGCCAAAATCAGGAGCCCATCACTAATCAATGAAAAAAAAGATATACAGCCTCTTTAGAAAACAACCTGACAATTTCCTTTAAAGTTAAACATATACTTAATATAATTTAGCAATCCCTCTCCTAGATATTATGTAAGAGAAAAAAAATATTCACACAAAAACCTGTGTATAAATGATTATAGGGGCCTTACTCATAATTGCCTAAAACTGGAAACAACTCAATAATATCCTTCAACTGTTGAATAAACAAACACTGGTACATCCATACAGTGGAATACTACTCAGTAGTAAAAAGGAAGAAATTACTGAATGAATTTCAAATGCATTCTGCAAAGTGATAGAAGCCAGACTCAAAAGGCTTTATATTGTCCAATTCCATTCCTATGGCATTCTGAAAATGGCAAAACTATAAGGGACATCCCAACTTGATAGGTAAATGAAAAAAGAAAATAAAAAAATAAAAAAACTACAAGGGACAAAAACTAAATCAATGGTTTCCAGGGGTTGGGGGTGGAGGGAGGGGCTGATTACAAAGGAGCACAAGAACATTTGGGAGGCGATAGACCTGTTCTGTATCTTGACTGTGGTTGTGATTAAATGATTGGACTGTAAACACTTGTCGAAACTCTTAGAATTACACACTAGAAAGGGTGAATTTTACTGCATGTAATTTATAGCTCAATAAACCTAACTTAAAAAAAGAAAATCTACAAATCATCTAATTCAGGGATTGGCAAAGTACAGACCTCAGGCCAATTCAAGCCCAGGCTAGTTTTTCTAAGTTTTGTTGGAAGGCAGCCGTACCATTATTTTATATTTTCTAAGAATGCTTCCTGCTACCATGGGTGGACTCAAGCAATTTTGGCCCTTCACAGCAAACATTTGCCAACCCCTGATCCAATCAGTTATTTGTCTTTAGCTTACCTTTGTCCAGGTGGAAATCATTTTTTAAAACTTTTAACTATGAGTTATAGAAATTCCAAGCTGCTCTATATATGAAAACAAACCTTTCTGCATCTTAAGCTTATTCCTCTTAGTCTAAGTTGTCACCCCCAATACAAAATAAATGGTCTCTAATCTCAACTCTTTCAAAACATCTAGTAGTAGCCAGGCGGTGGCTCACGCCTGTAATCCTAGCACTTTAGGAGGCCGAGGCAGTCGGATTGCTCAAGGTCAGGAGTTCGAAATCAGCCTGTGCAAGAGCGAGACCCTGTCTCTACTAAAAATAGAAGAATTAATTGGCCAACTAAAATATATAGAAAAATTAGCTGGGCATGGTGGCCAATGCCTGTAGTCCCAGCCTACTCGTGAGACTGAAGCAGGAGGATTGCTTGAGCCTAGGAGTTTGAGGTTGCTGTGAGCTAGGCTGACGCCACAGCACTCTAGCCAGGGCAACAAGAGTGAGACTCTGTCTCCAAAAAAAAAAACATCTAGTAGCATTATTAGCAACTTCCATTCAAGTCTCAGAAATATTAACAGGGTGGCAAGCACCCTCTACTGACAACTACGGATAAGAAGCCAAGCAATTGAAACCAATGTTAGGACACTTAAAATCAAGCAACCCTAACATGACTCTTATTTTCCTTCTTCATGGTTCTCCTTCTCCCAGCTGCCCAACCAGTATCACTTTCACTTGGGACTCGTCAAAGAAATTCAAGGAAATTGGCCCAAACTGTGACGTATTATTGGCAGTGTCCTAAAGAGCCTATAGATAATACATAAGAATGTTACACATAAGAAAGGCTTAAGTGAGGTCTCAGAGAATGCAGTCTTGAGTTCTCCCTGTACCAAGTAAGGTGATACAGTTGGTCATGCCTACCAGTGAGGCTCTGTACTGAAGTTACTCTAAAGATAATGCTACTGGACATGGAGACATGTCTAACAAACAGAGTTCCTTAAGGAGTGGTGCCTGTTTTATTTGATATCTTTATAAAAAACTTCACATCTGAAAAATCATGGAGCTATTTTACATGGCGAAGATGACAGGAATTTTGTAAATAAGAGTAAAAATTTGACAAGTTTTTTTTTTTTTTTTGAGACAGGAGTCTCGCTTTGCTGCCCAGGCTAGAGTGAGTGCCGTGGCGTCGGCCTAGCTCACAGCAACCTCAAACTCCTGGGCTCAAGTGATCCTACTGCCTTGGCCTCACAAGTAGCTGGGACTACAGGCATGTGCCACCATGCCTGGCTAATTTTTCTATATATATTAGTTGGCCAATTAATTTCTTTCTATTTATAGTAGAGACGGGGTCTTGCTCTGGCTCAGGGTGGTTTTGAACTCCTGACCTTGAGCAATCTGCCCGCCTCAGCCTCCCAGAGTGCTAGGATTACCGGCGTGAGCTACCGCGCCCGGCAACAAATAAGTTTTTATGTGGGTATATACGAGGTAATAAATTTAAGGTTAAAAAATAATGCTAACATGGGATAATTAGCTTTATCAGACTAACCTGGGATTGTAAGGACCACTTAGAACATTGTTTCTAAGCAGAAATTCACTGAGTATAAACTATGATTGAGTTCTAACTTGTACTATCAAGACAAAACCTTATCCCATCCTTCCTTTACTCAGCATAGTCACAAATGCAGGAAACTACTAAAGCTCCTTCAGCAGCAATAGAGTGTGGGAGGTGTGTGCTTGATATCTCCAACAAGAGAAAGATCACAGAGAAAGATCTCAGGGCACCCACAGCAGCAGGTAAAGGCAGGGTCTTGAGCATACATATCCTAGCAGGAGAGAAGCTCCAGCTCTAACAGTAGAAAAGCTGCACCTCCAACAAGGCAGACGCTAAGATAAGAATATGCCATTTAAGGATGAGAACTGGCCGGGCACGGTGGCTCACTCTGGGAGGCCGAGGCGGGCGGATTGTTCAAGGTCAGGAGTTCAAAACCACCCTGAGCAAGAGCGAGACCCCGTTTCTACTATAAATAGAAACAAATTAATTGGCCAACTAATATATGTAGAAAAAATTAGCCGGCATGGTGGTGCATGCCTGTAGTCCAGCCTACCGGGAGGCTGGGCAGGAGGATTGCTTGAGCCCAGGAGTTTGAGGTTGCTATGAGCTAGGCTGACGCTATGGCACTCACTCTAGCCTGGGCAACAAAGCGAGACTCTGTCTCAAAAAAAAAAAAAAGGATGAGAACTGCCTCCACTTCCCAAATGAATTAGCCTCACTAGATAAAGAAGAGAAAGACCATTCAGTAAGGTTTAACAGATAGTATGAGAAGATTAGCATTAGAAGAACAGTGAGACTGGTCATCATTTTATAATAAACATCAACTTATTTTTCCAAACCATTATCTGAATTTTGTGACAAACTGATTGCTTACCAGTTTTGCTTCAAGTCCAAATACTGAATGTTGATCCCTTCTTTAATAGCTTCATAGTTACTTTCAGATCCCTATATGAAAATATCAGTAACATAAGATCCTTGAGTATAGGAATCATTTCTTTTTGCCTTTATATCCCCAGCACCTAGTAAAGTGCCTCACATATAGTGGCTCAGTTGTTGAACAAATAATGTATATATTTAAAGAATTACTAACAAATCAATAAGTTCTAATATTCCTACAGATTAAATACCCCATTTCTGCTTATCTTATGGCTATACGTTATGCTGTTTATTACACTGAAATGTGTTCAAATAAAACAACTGAAGGAGTCAGCATTATCATCCAACTGTACATATGAATTATAGAGATGAATATTATTGTTCCTTACCCAAATAGCATCAGTAATGTTTTCCTTCAGGGCTCTATTTATATCCCAACTATGTGCTTGTTTTTCTGAAGAATCATCTAATTCCCATTTACTGATGTTTGAATTTGTCAGGATGTAAAAGCTTGATCTGTCTCTATCCCAAAGAACACTTGAAAGCTATATGGAGAGAAGAAGCCAACTTTATAAGTTCTAATATTAATTTATCTAAAATTCAAGTTTTACATATTTATGATCATTTGATTAGTAATCCTAGCAGAATTCTTCACGCAGGATTCGAAGGAAGGAGTGATCCTGAAGCAAACCTTGAAAGCAAGGTAGGATTTCCACAGATAGGAGCATAAAGGCAGAAGGGCTAGGAAGTGCAGAGATGGGAGGTAGGAAAGCTATAGGGTCTTCAGAGAACAAGTAGCCCTGTTACACTGAAATGTAGACAATAAGTGGAAATGAAGCAAAAATAGGATTCTTTAAAAATTAATGAAAAATTATGGCCGGGCGCAGTGGCTCACGCCTGTAATCCTAGCACTCTGGGAGGCCTATGCGGCAGATCGTTTGAGTTCAGGAGTTCGAAACCAACCTGAGCAAGAGCGAGTTCCCTACTCTACTATAAACAGAAAGAAATTAATTGGCCAACTAATATATGTAGAAAAAATTAGGCCGGGCGTGGTGGCTCACGCCTGTAATCCTAGCTCTCTGGGAGGCCGAGGCGGCGGATTGCTCGAGGTCAGGAGTTCGAAACCAGCCTGAGCAAGAGCAAGACCCTGTCTCTACTCTAAATAGAAAGAAATTAATTGGCCAACTAACATATATATATAAAAAAAAAATTAGCCGGGCATGGTGGCACATGCCTGTAGTCCCAGCTACTCGGGAGGCTGAGGCAGGAGGATTGCTTGAGCCCAGGAGTTTGAGGTTGCTATGAGCTAGGCTGATGCCACGGCACTCACTCTAGCCTGAGCAACAAAGTGAGACTCTGTCTCAAAAAAAAAGAGAAAAATTAGGGATCTTAAATGTAGATTTGTAAACCTAGTAAGCAAAGGAGATCATCAATGGCTTTTAAACACAGACCTGTGTTCAAATGCATCTGGCAGGATGTATGTAGTTAGATATACATGGGTGTGGGTGAGCTATTTCGCCTTTTCAGCATATACTTGCTTAGAAAGCATAGATGTGGGTTTTGTAAGCTGGGTATACATCATTGTTTTGAGTTAAAACCCTAGTTGTTTCCATTTCTCCTGTCACTATAACTCCGGCCACTGATGGGGCAGGAAGGACCAACAGTAAGTAACTGGACTGGCACCAGGAGCTTAGGTTAAATTTATCAAGAGTGTAGACGAGGGCATAACAACAGAAACAGAAAGATGGGTGGAAACGAGACCCAACAGAAGTTAAATCTACAGTACCCACTAAATAACTAATTTGCTATAGAAGGAGAAGGAGGCACCAAAAAAATATCAAGGTTTTATACCTGGGTCACTGAAAAAAGATGGTGCCATTAACAAAAATAGGTCAAAAGAGAAACAAGTTTTGCAGGGCTGAGCATGTAGTCAATTAGCAGAGAAGAAATATGATAAATTTGTTTTAGATATGCTAAGTTTTAGGTTCAGCTGAGTGTGGTAGCTTACGCCTGTAATAACAGCATTCTAGAAGGCTAAGGCGGGAGGATTGCTTGAAGTCAGGAGTTTGAGACCGGCCTGAGCAAGAGCAAGACCCCATCTATCTAAAAATAGAAAAATGAGCCAGGTGTGGTGGCGTGAACCTGTATTCCTAGCTACTCGGGAGCTGAGGCAAGAGAATGGCTTGAGCACAGGAGTTTGAGGTTGCTGTGAGCTAGGCTGATGCCATGGCACTCTAGCTCAGGTGACAGAGTGAGAAAAAATTTTAGTTTCAAAACATATTCAAGGAAACAGGTGATGATAGTTACCTGAAATGAAAAGGAAACAGCACAGTAAAAAGGGCATGTGCTTTAAATTCAGATGTTCCAGCTCTGCCACTCAGCAGTCACATAACCTTAGCCTCACTGAGGCCATTTCCTAATCTGTAAATTGGAGGGAAAGCTCTCTACTTTACAGATTGTCATAATGATTACATAACATGGAGATAACAAATACAGAGCACCTAGCACAAAGTAGATGATCCATAAATGTTAGTTCCCATCATACTCCCTTCACTATGCCAAAGCACTGGGCAGAAGTCCATCCAACAGATCTAGAGTCAAGTCATCCACATAGATAGCTGGAGTCATGGGAGTGCAGACACTCTGGTTAAGTTTAAAAAGTCAAATTAATCCTTACAAAACACATTTTAAGTTTTATATAATAGTTTTTTGTTTGTTTGTTTGTTTTTGAGACAGAGTCTCACTTTGTTGCCCAGGCTAGAGTGAGTGCCCTGGCGTCAGCCTACTCACAGCAACCTCAATCTCCGGGGCTCAGCGATCCTACTGCCTCAGCCTCCCGAGGAGCTGGACTACAGGCATGCACCACCATGCCCGGCTAATTTTTTTATTATTTTTAGTTGGTCAATTAATTTATTTCTATTTTTGGTAGAGACGGGGTCTCGCTCAGGCTGGTTTTGAACTCCTGACCTTGAGCAATCCGCCGCGTGGGCCTCCCAAAATGCTAGGATTACAGGTGTGAGCCACCACGACCGGCCTATATAATAGTTTTAATTTAAAAAATGTACTTATGAGATAATGCACCTGATTTAAAGATTCTAATGTTATAGGTCTGGATGTTAATATGAACCCATTTGATCACCATAGTACCATACAAATGGCTCACTGCAAAGATCAGAGGTTTTCTTTCATGTACACTATTGTTCATCTGGAAGCAATAACAACTTCATAGGAAACTTTCAACTTACTGATTTCATTAAGAAATAACCTTGTAAAACAGTTAGTTTATTAACTTACTATGAGATCACTACTAGGAGACAAAATTCCAAAAAGGGACGAAACCCTTCGACCAATTCCCGAAAGCACGCCTTGCCCTTGAGGCAGGATATGCTGATGAATCTTTCCTGAGCTCTCAGGTATCAACCGAATTAGCTGGCTTCCAGACGACGACAAAATAAAACTTCCTCCCTGTGAACAAATATTATGAGATTAGTTCAGTGAAGCATCTAACACTAACATATAGAAAACCAACCAAAAAAAATGCTTTGATACAAAGAAAAACCATCTGCTTAAATCTAAAAGAATAAAAATGAAACGTTATTTTATTAAAATAATTTACTTAGAATCCATTCACTTAATATTATTTCTACACGGAAAAACTTCTGCTAAAAAAAACTTTCATGACAGAAAAAAAGTTCATCATATTTTCTGAATTCTGATTTTTAAGTTACAGGTTCATGGTGTTACAGGTTAAATGATCTAGGTATCTGAGTTTATTCCTTTGGGGAACCTGCAGAATAGACAGTAGCCAATTATTCTTCAGTGTCTAAGAGTTTTTAAGCCAAGCTACTATCCAATATTGATACTTTATAGTCCAATGAGGGACTCCCTTGTTTAAGGGACAATGTCAGTTCAAAGGATTCACCTGTGGATCCTTACAGTCTTTTCTTGATCCTCCCTGGGCTGTTATGATCTGTTCAAAACCCCATACCTTTAGACATTCAAGTCTGACTTTCAAGCCAAATCATAGCTTTCCAATAAGTATTTTAAAAAATCCATCATATACCTGCACTGCTGTTAGGAAACTGTAAGTCTTATCACCTCCCAAGTCTACGGAAGTCTCTGTGTAGGTATCTTCACTGGCAAGGCTTGGCCAATAGCGGATGGATCCTTCTCTGGTGGCGACCATGACAGCAACAGCCTTGAAACAAGATCATAACATTATAACATTGTCAGCAATCACAATAAAAGGACTCCAAAACTGGGAGCCTGATGACATTGATATAAGAAACAGGACAAGGCCAGGCGTGGTGGCTCATGCCTCTAATCCTAGCACTCTGGGAGGCCAAGGCGGGCGGATTGCTCAAGGTCAGGAGTTCAAAACCAGCCTGAGCGAGACCTTGTCTCTACTACAAATAGAAAGAAATGAACTGACCAACTAAAAATATATATACAAAAAAATTAGCCGGGCATGGTGGCGTATGCCTGTAGTCCCAGCTACTTGGGAGGCTGAGGCAGTAGGATCACTTGAGCCCAGGAGATTGAGGTTGCTGTGAGCTAGGCTGATGCCATGGCACTCACTCTAGCCTGAGCAACAAAGTGAGACTCTGTTTCAAAAAAAGAAAAACAAGACAAGCTGCTATGTGATCAACTAAAAATCAGAAAAAAACTAACTAATGTTTTAATTGGCATTTCCCTAATGGGTAATGATGCTGAACATTTCTTCATGTGCTTATTTGCCACCCTTATATCTTCTGTAAGATGTCTGTTCAAGTCCTATTCCCTATTTTTAAATTGGATTGTTTTTCTTTCAAGCTTTTAGAATTCTTTTTATATTCTGGATATAGGTCCTTTGTTGGATGTATGGCTTTGTTACAAATATTTTCTCCCAGTCTGTAGTGTGTCTTATCATTTTCTTGTTTTGGGCAGAGCAATGTTTTTAATTTTGATCTTATTTTAATGTAATATTAATTTTATGTAATTTTTTCTTTTATGGGTCATGCTTTTGGTGAACTCCAAGAACTCTTTGCCTAACCCTCAGATCATGATGATTTTTTCCTATGTTTTCTTCTAAAAGTTTTATAGTTTTACATTTTACATTTAGATCTATAATCCATTTCAAATTAATCTTTGTACTAGTTTTGAGGTTTAGAGGAAAATTCGTTTTTTTTTAAATTCCAAATGACCAACTGTCATTTTTAATAAATAATCATTTATTAAAAAGACCATCCTTTCTCCACTGAATTGCTTTTGCACCTTTGTCAAAGATCAAATGGCTGCCTTTGAGTGGGTCTATAACCGTATTCTCTATTCCATTACTGACGTATGCGTCTGTCTCTCTTTGCCAATACTACAGTGTCCTGATTTCTACAGCTTTATAGTTATGTCTCAAAATCAGGTTGGATGATTCCTTCAACTTTAAATATCCTTATTTAAAAAAGTTTATTTGAATAGGCTTTTAAGTTACCTACTTGAGTAGAAGGTGCTTCTGTTGAAGCAGAAGAGTAAGAGAGAGCCACCAAGTCAGCACTCCAGTGGAAATCACTAGCTGGCAGCTGAAGTTCTTTGCAAACAGATAACTGTAGAAACCAAAACAGAAAATCTTTCACATCAAATCCAATATTTTGAATATGCATATCTACTTCCTTTCTCTGCATATTTTAGATTCTCACACATTGCTGGAAACACCATTTTACAAATACTCTTTCTTCTCACATCCCCTTTTGATCAGGCTTTCATTAATTTTAAAACAAAGTATCTTCAGAGATACAGAATCAGGAAATGTAAGAGCTAGACCAGACCCTGAACATCAATGATGCCAATCTCTTCCTGGGCCAAAAAAGTCTACTGGTTTAGAGAAATGCTTAGGCTTTCTTTGGAGCTTTCCCAGTCTAGTCTTGATTTGTTTGACATGTAAAATGAGCACGACCAAAGAATAATTATATCAAGTTTCCTATAAAATATTTCTTAGACCCTCAGCCAAATATTGGGATCCCTCTGCTGACTCAGCATGTCTCCCAGGACTTCTCACCTATTGCTCCTAACTACAAACACTATTTTGTAGACAGCAGTAGCACAGAGGTCAGCAGATGTGAAGAGTTAAGGTTAGCAGGAGCCCTGAGTTCCAACAGAACAATGGCCTAGTGAGTAATGAGTGGTGCGATAAAATATGCCTGAGCTGGAACAAACAGAAACGAGGTTGCTGAGGATGTTACTAGACATGCAAAGGATAGCCCACTATTGGAAGTGGACAACTGAAAGCTGAACTAGCAATTAGTATCATTTTTCTTACATTATTAGGCATCATTCATTAGATTCGATGAAACGGTTCTATCTTCTCAGAACTAAGCACACTCACAGTTTATTCACTTATGTGAATAGCATTTAGTCTTACACTTCATTAGGCAGACTGATTGGCATTATACTCATTGAAAATTTCAATGTCTCTAATTTTATTAAATGTAAATAACAGAGATCTTATTTAAAAATTATTAAAGGGGAGAAACTTTTTTCCCAGCACATAATTGTGTATGCATGCTCAGTATTTCATATTACTATGAAAATGCAAATCCTTAATGCCTGAGCAGATTCAGATTCCTATCCTCTATCAACTCTAATAAATTAGGGTAAAAATTAAAAGCCAATTGGTATCCTTGTCTTCCATCTCCTTCTAGCTTTCTATTTTTTTCTTTTTTATATTATCTATTTTAAAAACATTTTACTTTGTTTTATCTTTACTACCATCTACATAGAAATCACCAATCCTTCTAGCTCTCTAAAGAGCCATTACCTTAGTAATAGGTGACAGAGCAATTTTCCAAATAATGAGTTTCTCTTTGCAGATTAGACAAGCCCATCCACCTTCATCTATGTAAACAGCCAGCTGATCATCAACTAGAGGAAAAAATGAGGTGTATCATTAATCTTATAGTATGAACATGAAAAGTTGTTAAGAGTTCCTTACACCAAAATCTTTTATTTTTGAGACAGAGTCTTGCTTTGTTGCCCAGGCTAGAGTAAGTGCCATGGCGTCAGCCTAGCTCACAGCAACCTCAAACTCCTGGGCTCAAGCAATCCTCCTGCCTCAGCCTCCCGAGTAGCTGGGACTATAGGCACGTGCCAGTATGCTCAGCTAATTTTTTCTATATATATTAGTTGGCCAATTAATTTCTTTCTATTTATAGTAGAGATGGGGTCTTGCTCTTGCTCAGGCTGGTCTCGAACTCCTGACCTTGAGCGATCCTCCCACCTCAGCCTCCCAGAGTGCTAGGATTACAGGCGTGAGCCACTGCACTGGGCCCAAAATCTTTATTACTACCTGCTTCACCAAAATAAGTAATTGTCAAAGACAAAAAAAGATTAATTCACAACAAAAAATACTTTTGAATATCCAAGAATTATTAACATCCCAAATAAGATATCTATTTAATCTTAATAACCACCATTAAAAATATATCTATAGGCAAAAAGTATATTTGGGGTCTATGTTTAATATTCCTTAGTTTTTGTTATAAACAGATCAACTCTTATTTTCTAGAAGGAATATTTAGCAATATTTATAATTTTATTGATAAAGCAATAAATCCCCTCTTGACTATATAAAACATTTCAAGGAAAAACCATGTGCTTCAAAAGAACATGATTTTCAAGTAAGAGCTAAATTACTTCATTAAATGATAAATTATTGCATTATATGGAGACAGAGTTACATTCTCTATTAAGTGACAAAAGTAAATTAGTATAATTGCTATGTCTTAAGCATTTGTGGTAAACCTTCATAAATGTGTTAACAGCCCTGGAAATTTAAATGATATGAGCTTTGCTCTTTCCTTAAAGGAATGGTAGAGGGGCAAAATAAAAATTAAAAAGCATCAATAAGGTCCAACCTAAAATAGCAAATCAAGCCCAGGCCAAGTGTGGACTTTTTGCTAAACTGGGATATCTGCTCAGTAATTTCATTTTTTCCTGAAAGCACTATAGTAGCTACAGATCCTTGACTGGTGAGCCCTTGGGGGTTTATTTAACACAGTACTTGGTAGGTTTCCATGTGGGGAAGAGTTCTTCAAGTTTACACATCTCTTTAGTTTACACATCCTGATTTCTAGAGACTCTCTCCTCCGAATTTCTAGATTTGAGACTATATATTATGTTATCAAAATAGTCTAGTAGCATGAACCAGAAAGAGTATGCTAAAAGGTTTAAATGTAATTTAAAAATTTTAGAGGGGGAAAATATATATATTTCCCTCTAATATATGCACACATGTGTGTGTATATATTTATTTAAAACAGAACAACGGATTATGTGCCTCCCATCCTGTTTCCTTTCTTCCCTCCCTCTTAAAAAAATTTTTTTAAAATAAAAATAAAACAGAATAATGCATACAGAGGCTAGTAGTTTACTTGTCTGAAAGCAACTATCCCTAAAGCCCTCAAGGACTGATAGGCAAGATATGCAAGTTCAAGTTGATGAGAAATAGCCCTTTGTCTAGAACGGAGTACTTGAAACTTTGACTTTTTTTTTTTGAGACAGAGTCTCACTTTGTTGCCCGGGCTAGAGTGAGTGGAGTGCTGTGGAGTCATCCTAGTTCACAGCAACCTCAAACTCCTGGGCTCAAGCAATACTCCTGCCTCAGTCTCCCGAGTAGCTAGGACTACAGGTATGCATCACCATGCCCAGCTAATTTTTTATATATATATATATATACACACACACACACACTTTTTTTTTTTTAGTTGTCCAGCTAATTTCTTTGTATTTTTTTTAGTAGAGACGAGGGTCTCGTTCTTGGCTCAGGCTTGTCTCAAACTCCTGAGCTCAAATGATCTGCCTGCCTCGGCCTCCCAGAGTGCTAGGATTACAGGCATGAGCCACTGCGCCCGGCTGAAACTTTGACTGTTATGCACAATATGAAAAACATTTTACATCATGATGTATCACAAACAATTTAAATAAAACAAACAGGCCGGGCATGGCGGCTCATGCCTGTAATCCTAGCACTCTCGGAGGCCGAGGCGGGCAGATTGCTCAAAGTCAGGAGTTCGAAACCAGCCTGAGCAAGAGTGAGACCCCATCTCTACTATAAATAGAAAGAAATTAATTGGCTAACTAATATATACAGAAAAAATTAGCTGAGCATGGTGGTGCATGCCTGTAGTCCCAGTTACTTGGGAGGCTGAGGCAGGAGGATTGCTGAGCCAGGAGTTTTGAGGTTGCTGTGAGCTAGGCTGATGCCACAGCACTCACTCTAGCCTGGGCAACAAAGTGAGACTCTGTCTCAAAAATATAAATAAATAAATAAATAAATAACAAAAGTTTCTTAGCATTATATGAAATGCATTCTATTTCCTTTTTTTTAAAATGCTGGTCATGAACCACTAAACTGAACCACTGAACATGAACCACTAAACCACTAAATTGTAGGTTCAGTCACAACCTACAATTCGAAAAAACATAGTTCCAGAAAAGTCACAAAGCTCTAGAATTGAATCCTTAATAAAAATGACTTAAGGCCACTCTAAACTTTACTCTTTACTGTCACGCAACTCCTCATCCTTAATATTGCCTGAGTTTGTGTTGACCTTATCGTCCAAACTTCCACACTAATTCTCTGCCAACAGAATCTTCTAAAGGTATACCACATTGTTAACTTCATGAATTGGTGCATATAGCCTCTAGGATAGTATATGGGGTCCAGAAATGGAAGCATCACTTGATTTTACTCCATTACTAAACCCAATAATATGAGGCTTTTGTTTTTGTTGTTTTTTGTTTTTTTTTTTTGGTTTTTTGAAGGCTGTATGAATACCTGATCAACATAATAGTCCCTCCTCCTTATCCAAGGTTTTAATTACTTGTTGTCAACTGCAGTCTGAAAATATTAAATGGAAAATTCAAATAAATAATTCATAAATTTTGGCCGGGTGTGGTGGCTCACGCCTATAATCCTAGCACTCTGGGAGGCTGAGGCAGGAGGACTACTCGAAGTCAGGAGTTTGAAACCAGCCTGAGCAAGAGCAAGACCTCGTCTCTACTAAAAAAGAAAGATAAATTGCAACTAACATATATATAGAAAAAATAGCCGGCATGGTGGCGCATTGCCTGTAGTCCACCTACTTGGGAGGCTGAGGCAGGAAGATTGCTTGAGCCCAGGAGTTTGAGGTTGCTGTGAGCTAGGCTGACGTCATGGCACTCACTCTAGCCTGGGCAACAAAGTGAGACTCTGTCTCAAAAAAAAAAAAAAAACCAAAAACAATTCATAAGTTTTAAATTGTAGGCAGGGTGGTGGCCACGCCTGTAACTAGCACTCTGAGGCCGAGGGCTGATGCTCGAGGTCAGCAGTTCAAAAGCCACTGAGCGAGACCCCGTCTCTACTAAAAATAGAAAGAAATTAATTGACCAAATAAAATATATATACAAAAAATTAGCCGGGCATGGTGGCACATGCCTTCAGTCCCAGCTATTTGTGAGGCTGAGGCAGTAGGATCGCTTGAGCCCAGGTGATTGAGGTTGCTGTGAGCTAAGCTGATGCCACGGCACTCACTCCAGCCTGGGCAACAAAGTGAGACTCTGTCTCAAAAATAAATAAATAAATAAATAAATTGCATGCCACTCTAAGAGTAGTGTGATAAGATCTCTCACCATCCCACTATGTTCCACTCAGGTCATGAATCATTCCTTTGTCCAGCATATCCATAGTTTATATGCTTCTTGCCTGTTAGTCACTCAGTAGCCGTCTCAGTTATCAGATCAAGTGTTGAGGTATTACAGTGATTTTATGTTCAAATAACCCTTATTTTACTTAATAACGAATCCAAAGCCCAAAGTAGTGCTGCTGGAATATTGTTATAATTGGTCTATTTTAGTATCAGTTATTATTGTCAATCTCTTACTATGCCTAATTTATAAGTTAAACTTTATCATAGGTATGCATGTATAGGGAAAAACAAGGTTTCAGGCATCCATTAGGTATCTTGGAACATATCCTCCAAAGATAAAGGGGGGGGGGACAACTGTACAGTACTTAAAACCATTAAAGACTTAGTTGTGTTAGAATGAACTCATTTTGCTTCTCAAATTTATTATAAATCTCAATCACAGTGAAACACTAGCCAGGCTATTCATTTCTCTCCATTTAGGTAAAAGTGTACCAGAGAAAGCACAAATTTCAATCTCTATGACAGATTTAAGCTTCATTTTGAATAGCTATTAATAGTAGAGGCAAATGGAACAATGACACCTACCTTCCGCTAATGTTAGGGCTTCCATGATTTTAACGGGAAGAGAAGATCCAAACGTTTTCACATCATAGTTTGTAGACTCAGTTATGGAGTGGTATGGGAATAATCGTGTAGGTGTTCCTCTAAAGAAAAGAGTCTATATTACTTCACTTACAACTTAAAATTTTCCCCTATACTAATTTTTACGTATATATTTTCACAATAAGGAGACCTTTAATAAACAATAATTAATACTAGCTCATGCACAATGTGAAAAAAACACTGGCTCACCTATACCGTGTAATTAAATGTATTTTTCCTTAAAAAAAAGGCTGACAGAATTTAGGAAAACCTGGCTTCAGACCCTTATGCTCTAGTAATTAGATGCATGCCTCTATTCACTTAAACTCTGAAACTCTGCTTCCTTAGCTGTGAAAAAAGGTTGAATGACATTGGTGTTTTTCAAAGTGTGGGTCATTTTGCAAGTCTCAATCAACATTTTTGAGAGACAAAATAATATAAAACATCAACTTTTACCATTTGTTTTGGTCAAAAATGTTTTACAAACATTAGGTTAGATGATCTTTAAGCTTTCGTTTAGTTCTAGAATTTTAAGAATCTACCAGATCTGTGCAACCAAGCAAGAAATTAAATAAGAGCTACAGAATCTGCTGTTACATGGCCTTCAATAGCAGACATAACAGTAGAAATTATATTTTCTTCTAACTCTCCAGTATTAAAGGTATTCTCTTATCATGAAAATTAAATGAAGAGATGTACATACAGAGTAGCTGAGGGCTTTGTTTCCTAACAGAGTATTATACAAAGGTTTTCCTTTAAATAATCATCAGAAGGTAAGAAGGGATTTAAAAAACACACATATTATATAAAGTATAACTTTTATTCTCCAACTTTTCTCAAAAGAAACAGAAAACACAGACAAGGTCAGCAGTTTGAAGAGCACTTTTTAAAATATGCAAAAAAATCAAGGATACAGCGTATTCTTTTATCTTGCTCCCCAGAAAACTATGGCACAGAATATTCTTTAAAAATCAGTTTTCCTTTAAAGCATTGCAAAATTTTATTGATAAATTTTAATCATAAGTTTGAGACCCAGTATTTATTGTTTTCCTCCAGGGGAAAATTCATTTTTGATAGATGAATTCAGAGGAAACTACACAGAAACATGTTATCTTCTAAAGTTTTAGATTATTATGAACATGGAGGGGGGAACGTGATTTTACTGGTGATGTGGATTCACCAGTAGTTTTAGTAACACAACTACGACAGCACTCTTACCTCATTGCTTATGTAAAACCTTTTCCCTATAATTCAGCTACAAAGTTAAATTCTGTAGCTAAAAGCCATTTAATTACCAATCTGCAGATATTAATGGCAGTTACCGTAGCATGTTAGGCATTAAATAATTATTTTTCCAGGGTTGGAGGTCCTCACTGCCATCATCACTTTACATCTGCATGGCGGCTATTCATATCGACTCTTTTTCCCTTAGTGAAGCAGACACAGGTCAGATATATTATCGCCATTTCACAGATGAAGAAAATCACGAGTGACTTACACCAGATCGCAGGGGTAGTAAGAGGGATGGCGATAACCACCGATTTAAACCCAGTTTGTTCTTCACCTCTGCGCAAAGGTAAATCCATGAAAAGTGCAAAGCGAGGGCTGAACTGATAAATTAATCAAAGTTAAGCAGAAATAACCTGCAAGAGTGGAGATGGTCTATTTTCCAATACTTTGGCATTCCCCACTCCACTGCTATCCCTGGTTCCGGAGGCTTCTGGAGACACTACCCCACCTGGCCCACCGAGACCCGTGAGCCTTCCGGTCGCTGGACCCACCCAGGGGCGATCACTTACCGCGAGCTCAGCGAGCTACGCCGGCCGACCGGCGAGAAGAGCACCGGGGAGCTGACTGCAGACCCCAAGGACAGACCCTTTCTGCTTGCCGCCCGGGGCGTGGAGCCCGGCCCGACTCCGGCCAGCAGGCCCCTTCGGGACCCGGGACCCGGGGTCCGGGGAGAAGGGACGGCGGGGAACATGACCAGAAGGAGCAGCGGCGAAGAGCGCGCGAGTTCCGGCCGTGGAGCTGCAGTACCGACAGCGCGCGGAGCTTGAACACGCAAGGGGCGGGAGGACGCGCTTCGATGACGTCACGGGAAGCGCCGAGCCCGCGGAGTGTGATAGGGAGTGGAGGTGGGCGCGCGGCAATGACGTCACCCAGCTGCTTCGAGCCTGCTTGGTTAAGTCGGCAAGGTGGCTGATAGCCGCTGACCTGGAATAGCCGGAGTCGCGAGCTTCCAGGGACCTGGGCCTGGAAATCTAGGCGCCCTTCTCGACTACGCTAGGTGGGACTGGCCCTCCCGCAGCTTGAACTCATTGCTTCTTCGCACACTGTTGGTTCCTGAATCTCTTGAGAAATGAAAGGGTTTCCACAGTCCAAACTGAGTAGGGAGAAAAACGGTCAATCTGACCCTGGTTTCACACTGTGTTACATTTGTTCTCCTCTAGGTTTGTTATCTTCCTGGTCAGCTCTGCACAATCTCATCCACGCTAATGATGCCACAAATCCATATGTCTAACCCAGATCCAGCTCAAAACCCCCAGACCCTTAACAGCTCCCTAGTGGACATGTTCACCTGGTTGTCCTGCGGACACCTCCTCAATCCACTTGTTAAAAGCTGCATTCATGTTTTTCTTTAGGATCCCTATCCTACTACCGCCTCTGTCCTAGCTTGGTAAAGCTGGCCAATTGACCATGGCAGAAAGAAGGGTTCTGTCCTAGATTCATCCTTCACACTTACCTCCCCCTAAGATCCTTTGGCACATTATAGCTCCTGAGTATCCAGTAGATCACACATTTGCACCGCCTCTGCCCTGGTTCTGGTAATAATCTTTTCCTCAACCACTGCATAGCCTCTTTTTGAGGGGGGGTGAGGGGTCTCTTGCCTCTATCTACCGTTTTTCCCCGAAAATAAGACAGGGTCTTATATTTATTTTTCCTCAGGAAGACACCTTAGGGCTTATTTTCAGGATGTGTTATTTTCCCCTCAAAGCCTCAGCTTGCAGCACGCACAGGATGGCTGGGACCCGATAGGCGGAGCCGACCTTGGTGGGGCTGCCCGCACCTTTCCGGTCACCTCTGGGATAGTAGCTGTCACTATGGGGCAGATAAGAAGGGCTGCTAGTCTTCTTTACCGCTCCTCGATGAAACGCATGGGTTGTGCAGATACGCTGCGTAGCCACACCCATCACTAAGTCTTATTATCAGGGTAGGGCTTATATTGCTGCAAATGCTTAGAAATCCTGCTAGGGCTTATTTTATGGGTTGGTCTTATTTTGGGGGAAACATGGTATTAAATAAATTTGTATGTTTTTCTCTTGCTAATCTGTTTTTCATTATAGGGGCCTCAGCCATGAACCTAAGGTGGGAAGAAAAGATATTTCTTTTCCCCTACATGCATACAGTATAAGTCCATTTTTATTTTATTAAAACAGGAGAAAAATACCTCCCCTCTGTACATCCTTCCCAAAGTACCCCCTTGCAATTAAGACCAAACTTTGGCTTAGGTGGAACTAATAGCTGCAGTCAGCAACAGGAAAGCAGCCAGAATGAGTTCCTGCAGATGTGGTAGGGTTGCTAGAACCTCATTCTCAGCAGCATGGTAATTAGGATATTAGAATGGAGAGTCAGGGGAACAATGAACATGGAAATTATCCACACCCAGTCATTTTCAGGGCATTCATCGAATCCTCATCTTATTGACAATGAAACTTTTTAAGATGACTCTAAATTTCAGTGTAGTTTAGAAGTCCTTCAAGAAGTGCAGGACGCATATGTTTTTCTGGGGTTAGCAAACTTTCCGTCAAGCATTCGGCGTGCAGGCCCTATAGTCTCTCCCACAACTACTCCCCCTTGCGGTTGTAGGGCGTAAGCAGCCAGATATAATTCGTACACGAACAAGTGTGGCTGTTCTAATAAAATACACGAAAAAAATTTTCCTGTTTTAATGTGTTATGAAATATTATTTTGATTTTTTCAACCATTTATAACTTTAAAAATTATCCTTAGCTCGAGGAACATATAAAAATGGCCACAGTTCGTTGACTATTGAACGAATTCAAGGAAAGGAGATTACCAGGAAAACTCTACCGTGCCTCAGATGTAAAAACCACCCCTGTAGGAATATTTACAATGTAGTTTTCACATGTCTTTCATGTATATACCTAATGTTTTACAATATTTATATTTGTTTTCATTATTTTTTTATCAGCTCTGGCATTTTTATGGAATAAAATGGATTTCCCCAAATGGAGCCCTACTTTGTAAGAGTGCATTTATGAGGTTTTGGCCTACAATGGTTTAACTTATAATTATTTGCTGGGAAGCTGTCAAGTCCAAGGTCAGGGGAGACCTTACACATGGAGATGAGCCCAGGAGAGTGTACAACAAAACAGTAAGCTCAACAACGTGAAATTTTATCTACACACAGGATTTCAGGTGATGTATCTACACATGTAGGATTTCAGGTGATTTCAACTTTCTTTTTTGCTTATTTTCCAAATTGCTCACATGAACATACATACTGGTCAACGGCTCTCCATGCATATAGGATAAAAGATTTTTCAGCATAGCATTGAGGTTACACCATGACCCAACCCCTGCCTCTCTCTAATGTCTTCTTTTACCACTTCTTGCCTGAAGTTGTATATATCATCAATGCTGAATTAACTTACAACCTGCCTATGCTTATTTCCTCATCTATGAAATTGGGATGATAGACATTTGTCTAAATTACAGGATTGTCACAGTATCAAATGTGGTAACATGTGCAAACACTCTGCAGACAAAAAAGTGATACTAGAACACAGTGTTAGTAACCACACCTCTGTGTGTTGCTTAGCTATTTTCTTGTTTTTAATTTTAACCTGCCTTACCACTCCTTCTGAACTAGAAGGTCCTTAAAGTCAGAAACTGTGCTTTATTCATTTGTCATCAACCCCACAGCACAGTCTCCTGTCCATGGTGGGGGCAGAGGCTACTTATTTACTGTATTGAAGCAACTAAACAAAATGCTTAAAAATAGCAAGTGAGCAAGGGCATTAACAATCCTTGATAAGGAGGAAAGGAATATAACTTATAATCACTACTCACTTTTCTATATTTGTAATGTTAGCTTTTTCTTTATTCCTGAGTCTCCACAAATTCTAGTAAGAAATTGAATGTAGTAAAAAGTTTTATAAGAAGTGACAGACACAGATAAAGTTCACTATAAATTTTAATCTATGATATAAAATGTTACCCAAAGACACAATTGAACATCTTGTATCAGAAAATAAAATATAACAATCAAATTAAATTTTGTAAATATTTCTATGGCACAAGAAGATATATCCAACCTTGGATCTATCTATAGATTTCTGCAGATCCAACCTTGTAATTATGTTTTGTTTGCTTTCTGTAAACCAAACTATAACAGCAAACTGTATAAAGAACACAAATATAGTTTATTAAAATGATTGTCACAGATATACTATTTACTAATTCAAAGAACACGAAATTCATTCATGCGATCCATTTTATCCATTAATAAATTCCTTTATGTAGAAGGAAATATAATGCTTCTCATGGAATAGTGGTTTCTTTTTCCAGTATAACTAGGGAGCTAATAAACACTTAGTGCATGAGAAAATTTCCATTTCATTCACATCAACATAATTACTTCTTAGGTTTTGGCATCATCAATGTACAATAAGCACCTTTTCTTGAGGCAACATCAAATTAACAGCACTGATATGAGATAGGGGAAATCAGCATCCAGAATTTTGAAATATTTAGGTGAATCAAGCTATAACCATAAATATTAATCAAAGAAAAAGCCTTATTAATGTCTTCTTTTCAAGAGAATAACACATTCTTAAGGTTTCTTGTTATTTGATAGAATAGCAAGGACTTCTAAACTTTCTTCAAATGTCTTAAGACTAAAAATCAGTTATAGTCTTCAGATTTTAGCCTTATTAATGAAATTCCAAAAGTATTATAAAAGAGTATAAAATTCAATGCCTGGGAATTATACATTTTTAACATATATTTCAAAATACGTTCATTCAGACAACTTAAATGTCGAATTCATTTTTATTTATCTTTCTTAAAAATAACTGGCAGTTCATGCCTTCTTTCCCAAAAGTACTCATACAAATAAGTGAATAAAGAGAAGTTTTTCTATTCAAAGTTGGGGGCTTCTTCCCTCTTTAAAACTCACCAGTCTTTCATGTGCCAAAATATTGAAATCTGCACACATTTAAACACAGTCACATCCCACAGGAACATATATTCCTAAACTTTCACACCTTTGAAGACACAGGAGACAAGCAAGAAATAATGTCCCTTCTCTCCGTGTGACATTAACTGCTTCCGTCTATGTATCAGTCAGAGTCACTTCATGAGATGATCGGGATAAAACAAAGGGCTAGATTTTCATTTTCTATTACTCTTCCTAGTAAAATTAGACTCAAAGCAGGTGGAATACTATCCAAGAATTACACAGTGATTGGTAAACTGGCCTAAAATAATTAGGCTTTTTGTTTATAATTCCCTTTTAAAAGTTGTCATTTGACAATAGCTTCAACCTTTAACAGCAGGCAAAAGAAAATGAGGTGCCATGCTATATTAATTAAAATAGTCCAAGATAAAAGTACAAAACCTGAAAATAACTTCAGTGCTATAGACATTTAGAAAGTTACAATTATTAAAACTCTGAATAAAAAGTTCTCGTGAATAAAATAATATTTTACACACTTTGGAAAAATAAGCATATTTCAAATAACTCGATGTATGATTTACAGATTTCATTCAGTCTCTTAAGTTTTTTCTTCCGCAAAAGCACTGTTTTGTTTTAAAGTCTCTCATATTCAATTTACCAGTAATTGCTTCTTTATGCTGAAATAAAACTTTGTTTGTTCATCAGTTTTCTGTACATCCCATCTGGTTTTGAAAGCAGTTCTTCGTGTTTCCCATACTCGGTAATTTTTCCTTGGTCAAGAACAGCAACCATATTAGCATTCTTAATGGTGGACAGCCGATGGGCGATAATTAACACTGTTCTTCCTTCCATCAGTCGATCCAGAGCTTCCTGGACAAGGTACTCGTTTTCAGCATCCAGGGCACTGACACAGGAACACACACGCGAGAAAGCAAAAGATGTCAGCGCCACGTATATAATATACCCACGTGCTTCCTGATGCATGCGCGGTGGCCCCTCATGAGCAGTGAATTTTTACTATGATCAAAATTTCAACTGCCTGGGCTAAAGATACTATAAGAAAGAAGCTTGGGATTCCCTGATCTCCATAAAACTACGCTGTGATATAAGCAGAAAAGCATTCTGCACAGTGGCTCGTTACAGAGTGATTAGGGCTTCATCACAAGCGTGTTTGAATTGGAACTAGAACCCTCGACTCCTGACTCAGTTTGCCCACTACCTCTCACCTGCCATTATTAATTCAGACTCCATCACTTTAAAATAAGGGGGGGGGGGAAGTGTTTTCAGTTGTGTCACTTTGAAGGACAGAACCGAAAGTTTTTGGTGAAGGAAGAATTTGGTTTAATACAATTACGCATTTTATTAAGATATCCTCACCTGGTGGCTTCATCTAGGAGAAGAATTTTGGGATTCTAAAGAAGGACAAAAAAAAAATGAAAAGAAAAAATAATTTTATTAGAAAAACACAAACTCTCAGCAATAAAAAGGAATGAAATTATGACCCATGCCGTAAGGTGGATGGACCTTGGAAACATTATGCAAAGTGAAGGAAGCCAGACACGGAGGACAGTATCTTGTATGATTTAATTTATGTGAAATGTCCAGAGCAGGCACATGTCTAGAGGCAGAAAGCAGATTAGTGGTTACCTGGGGCTGGGGCCAATGGGGGAAGTAAGGGAGGTGTGGGGAGGGCTGCTAACAGATAGAGTGTCTCTGGTTGAGGGTGATGAAAACGTTCTAAAATTCATCGTGATGATGGATGCACAACTCTGAATACACTAAAAACCATTGAATTGTATTCTTTAAATGGTTACATTATGTAGTATGTGAATTATATCTCAGTAAAGCTGTTACAAAAAAAGAAAAACACAAACTCATAAGTGTCTTCGTTAAGTACATAAATGGAAGAGTTATAGCCGATTTTAAACTATTATCACAGCAACCATCTGACCAGATATTGTTTACAGCATAGTTTTATCCTGCTGGTCAATCAACTGACAGTGTGAGGTAGGAATCTACAATGAGTGAGACAAGGTCTATAACTCTCAGGTCTTACTTATAGTTTATTTAGAACTATCAAACTAACACATAAAACAGAAAAAAAAAAGAGTAAGCTGATATAGATAACACATTATATTCTAGCTTTGCCTAGAATTTCGCTCTACCCACAAGAAATTAAAACATACATCCCCCCAAAAAAGGTGCATACCATTCATTCATATGTTATTTACAATAGCCCCAAACTAGAAATGACCCAAATGCTCATCAACCATTGAATGGATCCACAAATAGGGGTAAACCCAAATAGGGGTGTGCTTTCTACTCAGCAGCAGAAAGGAAGGAGGTACTGATACAAGGTATAGAATGGAGAAGCCTCAGAAACATTATGCTTCTACTAAGTAAAAGAAGCTAGAGCCAAAGACCATATATCACTGGGTTCCATTTATTTGAAATGTCCAGAAAAGCAAATCTAGACAGAAAGTAGATTTGTAACATCCTGGGGCTGGGATGGGGAAAAGACCACAAAAGGGCATGAAGGATCTTGTTGGGGCTGATTTCTAGAAGTGTTCTAAAATTGGACTGTGGGTATAACCAGCTCTGTAAATTTACTAACAATCACTGAAAAGTACATTTTAAAATGGGTGAATTTTGTGGTATGTAAATTATGCTTCAATAAAGCTGCTTTAAAAAAAATCACCCATAAATCTGAGAATAGTTAGATAACAAAGGGGATCAGTCCCTTAAAAATAGAACGTCTTTATATATTATATATTATATATATATAAAAAAAATAGAACGTCTTACTTCCAGCTAAAATGGCTCTTTCCTCTCCTCTAAGGAGCCTTGTCTAAGTCCTTCAGTTCTGCACTATTCGATTTAGCAGTTGATTATAGATTATGCAAATGCGGGTGCTTGCACTGTTTGATATATTGAGTTAATAACCACTGTTCCACTGTTAGATAATATGCTTCTTTTTTTTTTTTTTTTTTTAAGACAGAGTTTCACTTTGTTGCCTAGGATAGAGTGAGTGCCATGGCATCAGCTCAGCTCATAGCAACCTCAATCTCCTGGCTCAAGCGATCCTACTTGCATCAGCCTCCTGAGTAGCTGGGACTACAGGCATGCACCACCATCCGGCTATTTTTGAATTATATATTTTTAGTTGGTAATTAATTTCTTTGTATTTATAGTAGAGACGGGTTTGCTCAGAGCTGGTTTTAACTCCTGACCTTGAGCAATCCGCCCGCCTCGGCCTCCCAGAGTGCTAGGATTACAGGCGTGAGTCACCGCGCCTGGCCGATGATATGCTTCTTGATGAGGGGTCCACGTGTTAAAAGTTTTCTCCCTCTGACAACCTTAGCACAGGAGATCCTTGTTAAATATAGGCAACACGCACCCCATGGAACTCCCAATTTATCTTTCACCATAACTGTCACCCATATACCTACTCTCCCTCTCCAAAATAAAAAAAAGAAGACAAACAGCAAACACAAATTACAACGTCCCCAATAAAAACAGTACAAAGAAACCAGCCAAGTGGCTCCAGGCTTACCTTAAGCAGAGCACGGGCAATTGCAATCCGCTGTTTCTGCCCACCTGACAAAGACAATACATTTTTTAAAAGCCTTAACAAAAATTTTTGATAACAGACTGTTCTGATAAGCCGTATGGCAATTTGACGGTAATTTCTTCAGGTAACCATCGCTGAGACCAATAGAACAGAAACCCATTTTTAAATATATTGTCTCCCCATTGATCTCAAAATTACTAACAGCAATCATAACTAACATTAATTGAGGATTTCCCATATACTAGGCATTTTCTAAATGCAGTACATGTATTATCTCATTTAATCTTTTAAAAAAATCCTATGAGGTAGGCCCCATAATTATTCCCACCTTACAGATGATAAATGGAGGCACAAAGTAACATGTTCAAGGTCTCACAGTTGATAAGCAGTGGAGCCACAGCCTGAACCTACACAGTGTGAAGGGCTATGGTTTTTTCAAAAATGTGGAGAGCTACACTTTTTTTTTTTTTTTTTGGAGTCTTTCTCTGTTGCCTGGGCTACAGTGCAGCAGCGTCATCATAGTTCACTGCAACCGCTGAGTAGCTGGGACTACTGGTGTGTGCCATCCCATCTGGCTAATTTTTTCTATTTTTAGTAGAGACGGGGTCTCCCTCTTGTTCAGGCTGGTCTCAAACTCCTGACCTCAAGCAATCCTCCTGCCTTGGCCTCCCAGAGTGCTAGGATTCCAGGTGTTGAGCCACCATGCCCAGCCAGGGCTAGACTTTTAATCACTATGCATACCTCCTCCCTAATAGAGTATCCAATGTAGTAAGGAAACTAGGGTGCTTGAAATGTCTGGCAGCAAAGGGCACTGATGATGCTGGGACAGGTAACTCATTCTATCATCCTGCTCAGCAGCACCTATTCTTCACACATGCTATTCTCTCCATGTTCTCCTCTTTTCCCTGCTTAAAGGCATTTATGGTAGTGTGTGTGTATGGAGGTTACAAACAGAGTAAGCTACTCTTTTCTTAAACTTGAATTCTACTGGCCAGGCCTAGTGGCTCACGCCTATAATCCTAGCACTCTGGGAGGCAAGGCGGGCGGATTGCTCGAGGTCAGGAGTTCAAAACCAGCCTGAGCAAGAGTGAGACCCTGTCTCTACTATAAATAGGAAGAAATTAATTGGCAAACTAGTATATATAGAAAAAATTAGCCGGGCATGGTGGCACATGCCTGTAGTCCCAGCTGCTCAGGAGTCTGAGGCAGAAGGATTGCTTGAGCCCAGGAATTTGAGGTTGCTGTGAGCTAGGCTGACGCCATGGCATTCACTCTAGCCTGGGCAACAAAGTGAGACTCTGTCTCAAAAAAAAACCTAAAAAAACCACAAATTCTACTAACAGCAAGCAAGCAAACTAAGGGTGGGTTTGGGGGGAGGCGGGCAGACCAGAGGTCAGAAGTCTGTGGTGATTCCCTCCCTCCCTTCCTCCAGGGACAATACTCCCAAGTCGCACTCTGAAAGTATCAGAGGGCTCACTCCTCCCAGTTTATGTTGTTTTATAAAACCAAATTCCAGCCTGGGCATGGTGGCTCACGCCTGTAATCCTAGCACTCTGGGATGCCAACGCAGGCAGATCGCTCAAGGTCAGGAGTTAGAAACCAGCCTTAGCGAGAGTGAGACCCCCGTCTCTACTAAAAATAGAAAGAAATTAATTGTACAACTAAAATATACAGAAAAAATTAGCTGGGCATGGTGGTGCATGCCTGTAGTCCCAGCTACTTGGGATGCTGAGGCAGGAGAGTCGCTGGAGTCCAGGAGTTTGAGGTTGCTGTGAGCTAGGCTGATGCCACAGCACTCTAACTCAGGCAAGAGAGTGAGACTCTGACTAAAAAAAAAAAAAAAAAAAAACCACCAACCAAATTCTATTTTTGGTGATAATAACATCCCTTTTAAACTGCCTCTACTTTATAAAAATCATACGCAATAAGCTTAAAACCTTTTTGTTTGAAATTTTCTGTGACCCAGGCATGGTGGCGCATGCCTGCAGTGCAGCTCACTCAGGAGGCTGAGGCAGGAGGATTGCTTGCACCCAGGACACTGAGGTAGCAGTGAGCTGTGATCGCACCACTGCACTCCAGCCTGGGTGACAGAGCAATACCCTGTCTCTGAAGAAAAAAAAAAAAAAAGGATAAGAAGGAAAATAATATTGCAATATGGAAATGTTTGGAGAGTTCTTTGGAGCCCACAGTTTTGGCTATTAACACAAAGCAGTGACAAAAACACACCTGAGAGGAGAACGCCCTTTTCTCCGACCACAGTGTTGAACCCTTGAGGGAAGTTCCGAATGAAAGCATCCGCGTTGGCCACCTCGGCCACTCTCCCCACCTGCTCGGCGGTCACCGAGGAAGGGTCGTCGGCACCATAAGCGATGTTCTCGGCGATGGAGCAAGAAAATAAAATGGGTTCCTGCCAAGTGGAAATAAAACTTAATCTGTCACACATTTCAGAACAAACTGCCACCATGTCTACTAAGTAGAGAGGAGCTTTAGTACGGTACTTAAATCTAAGAAACTATCAAAGTGTTATTTTCTTGGTTCTCCTTCCTCATTCTCCATAAATTTGCCCAGAATTTTTAAAAACTCATTGTTTTACCATAAACAGGACTGATTGTCTCATCTGTAGTTCTACTCGCCCTGCAGTAGCCATAAGAACCGGTGACAGGTGCCATCAAGGTGCCTGGCACACGGTAGGAACTTCGTAAATGTGAGTCCTCTCACTTAGGAATCGTAAGGCACTGTATGGCCCCAAGTCCATCTGCACTGTCCAGCTGCCTGCCTTCCACTGGGGACGAAGGGGGAAGCCCTCTCTATCCGTTACTTTCTGAAATGCATACAAACCAGATGGGAACATGACCTGTGAACACAAACCCTGTGAATTAGTTCTAAAAAGCAAGCAAACCTCAGCCTCTTTTCTCCATCCTTAATAATGCACACTGTTAATATCCCCACACTACTGAGCACCCCATCACTACCCACCTGCCTCCCCCTAGTAAGTGGGGTGAGGGTGAGCTCACCACAGGGAGGCTCAAAAATGTGAGGAGGCTCAGCTTTGTCTGCCATGGGCACAGATTGGCAATAAAAATTAAAACAGCTGTGGCAACATTTCCCTGCCCCAGATGGTCTTAGAAAATCAGCCTCATCGAAGAAACCACATTACATTAACATTCTGCTGTGAAGTCTGCAACTTTTTTGCAAGAGGACCCTGGCTCTTGCCACAGTCTTTGGTTGCTTCTCCCTGAAGCTCATTATGCAGAACAGTAGACTGTGGCTAGGGATAAAAATGGAATTAGGGAAGAGTCAGTCAAAGCCTTTATCATTTTCTCCCCATCCCCAATATCAGCATGACCAAATGACATCAGTCTGCAGCTTTTGGTTCATAAGTCAATGCTTTGACTGGTTCAAGTGTTCAGGGTTTTCCAGGGAACAGTGCTATTTGCAAACCTAAACAACCTGCCATGAGAGATGAGTTTAATACATCTGGAAAACTTCCATTCCTTCTCTCTTGAGAAGCTCAAGACCAGGGAGAAAAGTGAATGACGAAAGCAATTTCAAAAGAAAGTGAAATAGAAACGGAAGCTTCTCTTTTTACCTGACTCACTGTCCCAATCTTGGATCTCAGCCAGACTGGATTTAGCTGACGGATGTCATGGCCATCAAGACTGATAGTTCCTTGTAGAGAGGAAAGAAAAGAGTCACTAAGCATCATGGCACCGATGACTAACACAGAAAGGATCCAGTGGAAACATTTCAGACTCAATTTTTTAAAGATTTGAAATATACTCAAAATCTCCAAATGGAATCTAAAACCATCATGTTTCGTGGAATTTCAGAGCTAAAAGGGACTTTCTGGATTGTGGAAGTCTATTGTCTACCTACACTGGCTAGATGACCATCTCACCTAGTTCATCCATCCAGCTTGTCTTCTTGCACCCTGGAGCCCCTCAAGTGACTTACGAGTCCACCAATGAGATGCACTTGTGCAAAGCCTTGATTCAAAAGAGAATTACATGGGAGAGGGGCAAGCCATAAGGTCCACTTGCTGGCACCAATGACTGGCTGAAGTGGCACAGCTGTAAAGCTGGCACCCATGACAGTGGCTATTGCTGCAGCTTCCTGATCATGCCAGTGTTAGCAACTACCTTGAAGGCCTGGTTCTCAGGTGAAGTTCTGGGAAGTTTCCTAGAAGTTCAGCTGAGAATTCATTTTGTCAACCCTGACAGTGGTTTTTTTTTTTAGTACTTTTATTACTCTTTAAAATATTCCTTTCTGGGCTGGGCGTGGTGCTCACATCTGTAATCCTAGCATTCTGGGAAGCCTAGGTGGGCAGATCGCTCAAGGTCAGGAGTTAGAAACCAGCCTGAGCAAGAGCAAGAGCAAGACCCTGTGTCTACTAAAAAATAGAAAGAAATTAATTGGCCAACTAAAAATACATAGAAAAAATTAGCTGGGCATGGTGGCACATGCTTGTAGTTCCAGCTACTCGGGAGGCTGAGGCAGCAGGATCGCTTGAGCCCAGGAGTTTGAGGTTGCCGTGAGCTAGGCTGACACCATGGCACTCTAGCTGGGGCAACAGAGTGAGACTCTGTCTCAAAAAGAAAAAAAAAATTCCTTTCTGCATAAACTTAGTCAAAGGTTGGCCGGGCGAGGTGGCTCACGCCTGTAATCCTAGCACTCTGGGAGGCCGAGGTGGGCAGATTGCCTAAGGTCAGGAGTTCGAAACCAGCCTGAGCAGAGCGAGACCCCGTATCTACTATAAATAGAAAGAAATTAATTGGCCAACTAATTATATAGAAAAAGTTAGCTGGCATGGTGGTGCATGCCTGTAGTCCAGCTACTCGGAGGCTGAGGCAGGAGGATTGCTTGAGCCCAGGAGTTTGAGGTTGCTGTGAGCTAGGCTGACGCCATGGCACTCACTCTAGCCTGGGCAACAAAGTGAGACTCTGTCAAATCAATCAATCAATCAACCAATCAATCAATCAAGTTAGTCAAAGGGGAATCTGTTATCTGCAACTAAGAATCCGATCAATACTGTGGCAGAGCTTTTAAATAATCAGATGCTAACTCTGTGACCCTCACCAACAGAATTAATTCTACACGTTGAGAGTACCCGACAGTACTTGGAGATGCTGGCGACAGTGACAGCATAAGAAATGCCATTCCTCCTCAGTTAGTGCTGTGGAATATAGAAGCCAGCTGGAAACTTTCATAAACTGGCAAAAACTTGAGGTCTTTGACTAAAAGTGCAGAGTACTCTACCCATCCGTCCCCAGTCTTTTTGGCACCAGGGACTGGTTTCTTAGAAGACAATTTTTCCACAGACTGGGGGGAGGGATGGTTTCGGGATGATTCAAGCGCATTATGTTTATTGTGCAGTCAGACCTCTCTGCTAATAAGAATCTGTATTTGCAGCCGCTCCCCAGCGCTAGCATCACCGCCTCAGCTCCACCTCGGATCACCAGGCATTAGACTCTCGTAAGGAGCTCAACCTGGATCCACAGCACGAGCAGTTTATAGTAGGGTTTGTGCTCCTGTGAGAATCTAAGGCAGCAGCTGATCTGACAGGAGGCGGGGCTTATGCAGCGATGAGAGCCATGGGGAGCAGCGGGACACACAGACGAAGCTTCATTTGCTCTCCTGTTGCTCACCTCCTGCTGTAACGGCCTGGTTCTTCACAGGCCATGGACCAGTACCAGTCTGCGGCCTGAGGGTTGGGCACTGTAGCTATAGCCCACGCAGCAGAAATCTACATGCTATTGCCTTTCTCCTTGATTTATTCACCACGATGAAACTAGAGACTCGATATTTTTACTTAATTTGTACCCACCTGTGCTATTTCCTTTCTCCTTGATTTATTCACCATGATGAAACTAGAGACTCAATATTTTTACTTAATTTGTACCCATCCTAACTAGGATGTTTCTTTCATTCATTCATTCATTCATTCATTCATTTATTTATTTAGAGACAGGGTCTTGCTCTGTTGCCTAGGCTGAAGTGCAATGGTGTGATCATAGTTCACTCAAATTCCTGGGCCCAAGAGATCCTCCCACTTCAGCCTCCCGAGTAGCTAGGTATACAGGCTTGTGCCACCACATCCAGCTAATTTTCTTATTTTTTGTAGAGACAGAATCTCACTATGTTGCCCAGGCTGGTCTCAAACTCCTGGCCTCAGGTGATCCTCCCACCTTGGCCTCCCAAAGTGCTAGGATTACAGATGTGAGCCACTATATCTGGCCTTTGGATTTTTTTAAACTGAGAATTTTATGTAGCAAGTCAATAGTGAATTGAGACAGTGATTCTAGAGGCAAACAGTGTAGTAAAACCCATTTTAATCCAGGTGGTGATTCCGTGGGTCAGGATTTACAAGCCAAATAATCATCTGACACATAACTGATTCTCCTATTATGTTTTAACCAAAAAGCACAAACACAAAGATATAAACCATTGTTTTTCAATTCACAATTCAGGCCAGGCATGGTGGCTCATGCCTGCAATCCCAGAGGATCATGGAGGCTGAGGCAGGAGCATCACCTGAACCCAGGAGTTTGAGGTTACAATGAGCTATGATAGGGGCCACTGCACTTCAGCCTGGATGACAGAGTGAAACCCTGTCTCTAAAAATAAATTAATTAATCAAATTAAATTAATTCATGATTTGATTTTTAGTAAAACACCTCTTGTTTTCTCAATCCAAAATCAAATCAGTATAGAATATCTACTCTAGGTAGGATATAAAGAAGTAAAATAACATGCTCTCTGTTCTTAAAGATGCTATAATCCAGTTAAAAATAAAATAAAAACTAGAATGAGAAAAATCTATTAAGAAAATCCCTACTAGTTCAAAATACTTTCAGTGGAGCAGCCACACAAAAGTGGATCCCTAATTGTCAAACTGACTGTCTGCACATAAAGGGTGAAGTGGGCCTCAGGCAGAGGCTTCCCCGAGCTCCCTGAGGCTTCTGCACTCAGCAAGCACAGAGAGGTGCTCCAGAGTGCTCCTCCAGAGTGCTGCTGAGGGGCGGGGGTGTCCAGCAGCACAGGGGCACCTTTTCGGAGCTGCCGAGCATGGCCTCACCCGCCCTACTCCCAGGAGAGCGCATGTCAGAAGGAGACACCAGCATGGGAGGTGGGGAGGTGGAATTCAGGGAGTCACTCTGGACTTGAAGAGGTAGGACACAAAATAGTACAAAATGCCTGGCAGGCCTCTGCAGGAGCTGTCATATACCCCTACAAGTGACACCTTCTGTTTGAGGGATTTCTGTCCCAGGAAGAAACCCACTAGCACTTAAAACTCTCACTATGGAAGGTCTCTGCATAACTGGATCCTCTCCCCCGGCACAGGATAGGAAGAAAGGCTCGGGAGTGTCCCCCTGAGCAACAGCACGCTGAACCGCTTACCAGAAATGGGGTCATACAACCGCAGGAGGAGTGAAACCACTGTTGATTTGCCAGAACCACTTGGGCCAACCAGCGCTGTGACAGATCCTGATGGGACAGAAAGGCTGAAATCCTGAAATATGGGCGCCCCTGGGCGAGCTGGGTAGGCAAAATGCACATTCTTAAACTCCAAAGCTCCCTGGAAGCTCTTCTCATTTAAGATGACCCCCTCTGAAACATAAGGTGAAATGTTAATTACTTAAAGCAAAAATCCAATTCACAGCTGAACTCAGTTCTCCTACTTCTCTGCCTATGGAAGGATTGCACCCCCCACAGCTAGTCCTAGAACACGAAGTCTCTGTGGGCAGGTCAGAAAGCAGGCCTCTCACCATGCGCTGACTCTGCATCTACTATGGGCACCATGCCACACATATATAGTCTTTGACCCTTATAATCCAGAGAGGTAAAAATTACAATTCCAATTTACTAATGAGGACCACAACAGACAACGGCTTGCCCAAGCTAACAAGCAGTAGAGTTAAGATCTACCTTTGCAACAGTCTGGCTTCAAATCCAGTGGCCTTCCCCCTATGCCATTGCCTCTGTGTAGCTCCCCTGGTCCAGAGTTTATTTTATCTGTCCCTAATATTGGGGCAGAAACGTTTTGAAAGAATGATAATGAACAGGGAAGTGTTGCACAAGAGCCACACAACTGGAGGGGGATCGGGGATCTCTTCTGCCCTGGTATTAACTTGCTGCTGACTTGGGAGACACTGTTAAACCTCTCTCAGTTGGGCTTATTTCTTACAGGCTACCATACTGAAGAATATTGGGTTCTTACTTACTGACGTGGGCTATCTAACAATGTCCTAGGAATCAGTAAGTTATTGGGAGTGTTTACGACTCATATCCATTTCTCCTGGGTCTTAGTTGGTTGGTCCAGGCCCCATGCTCTAGGGAAGTCACTGATAAAGGAGATGGCTCTTGCCAGTTTGTACTAGCCCCCACCCTACCCTAAAATGCCAAGACATTTAGAGGCCTTTATCTCTATGATCCCCCCTCCTTTCTTCCCATCCAAACTCTCCATACAGATGTCAGAATCACTGAGGAATTTCAATCTGGTGGACTGGCTCGGGTCCTTCCTATATTCATGCCCCTGGACTGCACTGCCTTCTATCCTGCCACTGGTCGGAATAATCAGCTGCAGAGAGGTGAACAGTGGGCACCACACTATGTGTTCAGTCCCCCTGTCTCCAGGGACATCTCAGGCCCACAACAGTGCTCCTGCAGCCATCCTTCCTTACCCCCCTCTCATAGGAAACCTCACCCCTTTCCTGCCACATGGCAAGGATCATGTCCCTGTTGTGGCTCATACTTCTCAGGCAGGGCAGGAAGCTAGTCTAATTGTCCCAAATCACATTTGTTTAATCCCAGCAAAGAACAATCCCATTTCAGACCCACCGTTAAAAGGCATCTTGGGCTGTCTCTCCAGGAGCTCCCAGAGGCGCCCCCCTGCGCCCAGTCCTTTCATCAGCTCCGAGTAGAAAGAGCTCAGGCCTGAGGACGAAAAGCAGAAGCACTCACGTGACCGTCACCAGCACCAGGGAATGGCCACGGCTCCTCTCATCCCTCTGGAGCCCTCTGGAGCCGTGACAATAACTTGCTTTTAATATAAAATCTGTTACATTCAAGAAATGATTTGAGGCAGCTGCCTAGGAATCCACATTCAGAATTCCCTCTGTCTCATACTCTAGTTTTCCTTGGGCACCTCCTCTCCAATTTCATTGATTTCTAATACGAATTAAATGTTTGATCAGAGGATTGAAAAATACATATAGTCATACTAATCAACCACTGAATTAAAATCATAATGCTACAGAGGAAGTCTGCCTAGTCAAATGATAGCAAGAGAAATGAAATGTAATGCTTACCTCATAATTTTAAAAAATATAAAATACTTCAATATTCATTTTAAAGATAACTACAAAATCAAAACTCCCCATCAGGCACTCAATGAATACAACTTTCACATAAGCTAAAAACTGAAAAGGAAGTTGGTTAATTTTAAATATTCTAGCAATCTCTTTTAAAGTCACCTCTGAAATATTATTTAATTAACAAGTTAAACTCCAAGTACAATGGTCCATGTTGAATGTGAGGACATACATTTGAAACACCTGCCCTCAGTAAGGATGCTGGAAAAACATAATTCAAATATTCTTTCTATGATATAGATACTTATGCAAGATCCAGGTGACTAAACCTTTAGGTTGAATTAAAAACACACTGGGTAAAAACAGACCCACAAGGCCGGGCACTGTGGCTCACGCCTGTAATCCTAGCTCTTGGGAGGCCGAGGCGGGCGGATTGCTCAAGGTCAGGAGTTCAAAACCAGCCTGAGCAAGAGCGAGACCCCGTCTCTACTATAAATAGAAAGAAATCAATTGGCCAACTGATATATATATATAAAAAATTAGCCGGGCATGGTGGCGCATGCCTGTAGTCCCAGCTACTCGGGAGGCTGAGTCAGAAGGATCACTTGAGCCCAGGAGTTTGAGGTTGCTGTGAGCTAGGCTGACGCCACGGCGCTCACTCTAGCCTGGACAACAAAGCGAGACTCTGTCTCAAAAAAAAAAAAAAAAAAAAAACAGACCCACACATTACAGTCAACTGATCTTTGACAAAGCAGCAAAGGCAATGCGATGGAGATGCCACGACAACACGTGTTCTCTCTTTAACAAGTGGTTCTGGAACGACTGGACATCCACATGCATAAAAGGAAACTAGACACAGACTTTTCACCTTTCACAAAAATTAACTTCAAATGAATCACAGACCTAAATGTAAAATGCAAAACTATAAAATCCTGTAAGACAGCATGGGAGAAAGTATAGATGACCTTAAGTTTATATTTAGCTACAATACCAAAGGCATAATCCATGAAAGAAAGTACCGATAAGCTGGACTTCATTAAAATTAAAAATTTCTGCTCTGCCAAAGACAATGTCAAATGAATGAGAAGACTAGCCACAGACTGGGAGAAAATAGTTGTAAAAGACATATCTGATAAAGGACTGTTATCCAAAATATACAAATAACTCTTAAAACTCAACAATAAAAAAACAAAGAGCACGATTTAAAAATGGGCAAAAGACCTGAACAGACATCTCACTAAAGAAGACATACGAATGGCAAGTAAGCATATGAAAAGATGCTCAACATCGTATGTTATCAGAAAAATGCGAATTAAAACAACAATGAGATATTGCTACATACTTATTAGAATGGCTAAAATCCAGAACACTGACAACACCAAGTGCTGACAAGGATGCAGAACAACAGGGTCTCTCACTCGTTGCTGGTGGGAATGCAAAATGGTACAGCCACTCTGGAAGGCGGTTTGGCAGCTTCTTATCAAACTACATATTCTCTTACCATCCGATCCAGCAATTGCACTCTGATTTACCTAAATGAGTTGAAAACTCATGTCTACACAAAAACCTGCACACAACACATGTTAACAGCAGCTTTATTTGTAATTGTCAAACTTGGAAGCAACCAAGATGTTCTCTAGCAGGTGGATGGATAAACAGGGGTCCATTCAGACATGGAATATTATTCAGTGCTAAGAAGAAATGAGCTATCAAGCCTTGAAAAGACATAGAGGAACCTTAAATATATATTTCTATGAAGATATCCAATCTTAACATACTGTATGATTCCAACCATGTGACATTCTGAAAAAGGCCATAGACAGTAAACAGATCAATGGCTGTCAGTGGTTGAGGAGGAGGGATATATAACACAGATCTCTGAGGACTAACCCTAACCTCAAACTCCTGGGCTCAAGTAATTCTGCTGCCTCAGCCTCCCGAGTAGCTGGGACTAGAGGCATGCGCCACCATGCCCGGCTAATTTTTTCTATATATATTAGTTGGCCAATTAATTTCTTTCTATTTTTATAGTAGAGACAGGGTCTCGCTCTTGCTCAGGCTGGTTTCTAACTCCTTCTTTTTTTTTTTTTTTCTCTTGGTCTCAGCTATAAAGGTTTCGAACTCCTGACCTCGAGTGATCCGCCTGCCTCGGCCTTCCAGAGTACTAGGATTACAGGCGTGAGACACCTTGCCCGGCCCATTCATTGGTTTTAAATATGGTTAACTTTGTATTATACAAAGGGAATTTTATTCCCCAGTGATTTTCCAATCATGAAACTGGGTTTCTGTGTCCACACCTGCTCAGTACCACCCTCCTCCTGGGTCTGTGAGCAAGTGAACAAGCTGTCTTAATGTGCAGGCTAGGAAATACTGCTCCAGAGCGACACTGAGATACAAGAGGCCTGTAAAGATACCAAACTTCCCGACCATGGAGCAGCTCACACTCATCTGTGCAGGAGGCTCACACTCATTTTATTTCATCTTTGAAAGCCAGTTGGAATGATAACATTCTAGGAAATGTTTTTTTCATTCCAAGTTACTTGATGAGAGGTAGAGAGATATAAAAGTTGAGTTTCTGTTTCAGAAATGATACTCTGATTTTTAATTTGTAATTTACCAAGCCTTTTAAAATTATATACCTCCAATGCTTACTCCAACCCAGAAAGCATACATTAGGAAGGAAGAGAGTTCACCCACTGTCATGTGGGCACTGCCCATCAGCAGCCCTCCTTTGTACAGGACGGAAAGCACAATCAGGTTTCCAGAGAGCCCGGTCTGTAGAAGGAAGAAAACATAGAAGTCATATAGGAGCCAGAAACCTAGAATGCAGAAAGCAGGAACATGACCTATAATGTACTTTTTGCAATTAACTGTCATAGCAAGATTTCTCCAAAATATTAAATCTCACCTGAATTTTGAATAAAAAATACTTTTGAAATATTGCAATATTAAATAAAATAATCTCATCCCATGAAAAACCTAGAAACTATGTAACCCATCAGATTCCCATTTTACTAAATCTACCCAGTTTGCAAAGGAAAAAAGTAGTATTAAAGATTCCTTACCTAGTTAGAGGACATAAATAAATATCTATTAAATATCTATTAGTATGTATTTACATATTATAATGAGATGTTCTAAAGTCCTGCATTTGTGACCTGTTTTTACCTTTGCTAGGTGTGGTCTCTGGTCAGGGCAGCCTTCTCTGGGCTACTGTTTCTTTATCTGTTAATCATGGCAATGAGTGAATGAGTGAATCATCTCAAAAGTTATTTCCAGTTTAAACATATCACGAATTTGCCCTCACGGTGACTTTCTATTTCATATGCTATTTGAGTTCATTGTGATCGACTGTTTATACTTCCTTCTCGAAACACACTGAGGTTATTTCAGTTAATCCTCTGTAGGTCTCTGACCTGCATCAGAATGACACAGGTGATCTGCTGGGCATGCTGGTGCACACCTGTAGCTCCAGCTACTCAGGAAGCCGAGGCAGGAGGATCCCTGAGCGCAGGAGCTCAAGGCTGCAGTGCACTATGATCGCACCTGTGAATAACCTCTGCACTCCAGCCTGAGCGACAGAGTGAGACTGTGTCTCAAAAAAAATGTTTAAAAGAAGAATGATTGGAGGGCCCATTAAAATAGATTGCTGGTGTAATCCCAGCACTCTGGGAGGCCGAGGCGGGAGGATTGCTCAAGGTCAGGAGTTCAAAACCAGCCTGAGCAAGAGCGAGACCCCATCTCTACTATAAATAGAAATTAATTGGCCAACTAATATATATAGAAAAAATTAGCCGGGCATGGTGGCGCATGCCTGTAGTCCCAGCTACTCGGGAGGCTGAGGCAGAAGGATTGCTTGAGCCCAGGAGTTTGAGGTTGCTGTGAGCAAGGCTGACGCCACGGCACTCACTCTAGCCTGGGCAAGAAAGTGAGACTCTGTCTCAAAAAAAAAAAAAAAATAGATTGCTGGCTCCAGCCTGGATTTTCTGATGAGTAGACTGGGGTGGATGTGAGTATTGGCAAGGCTAACAAGTCCCCGAGTAAAGCTGATGCAGCTGGTCTGGACCACACTTTGAGAATCAGTGACTGATCTCACCACGCATTGACTTTTCTCTAATGACATTTATTTGTTTTCCTTCTCTTTCACAACAATATTTTAAAGAAAGTCATTCTTAGTCTTAAAGCAGGATAACATTATTTTCTGCTCATGCCAAGAGCCACACAATGAAACTCTCTCACAATCATAACATCTGCCCTTTTCACTCTTTCCAAAATGATATACTTACTGCTCCAAAGAAGCCAGCCCGAGCAAATGCCTCTTTCCTGGCCAACTGCATCACATAGTCCACTTTGCTGGCATATTTCTCTATTTCAGTCATTTCTTTCCCAAAAGCTCGAACAGTTCTCATATTTCCAATACGTTCCTCAGCTAGCTGGGAGAATAATGAATACATTTCAGAAGGAGGAGGGCAACATTTTGAGAGGTTCTAGAAGCGAAATTTAAATGTGGTTCTCATTTTAAAGATATTATCAATGGAAAGCCACTCTTGATACATGACTAAGTAAAAAAATAAATGAGGCCAGGCACAGTGGCTCACACCTGTAATCCCAACACTTTGGGAGGCTGAGGCAGAGGATCACTTGAGGCCAGCAGTTTGAGACCAGCCTGAGCAACATAGCAAGACCCAATCTCTACAAAAAATAGAAAAATTAGCCGGGTGTGGTGGCTTGCACCTATAGTCCAGCTACTTGAGAGGCTGAGGCAGGAAGATCACTTGAGCCCAGAAGTTTGAGGCTGTAGTGAGCTATGATCATGCCACTGCACTCCAGCCTGGGTGACAGAGCAGGGAAAAAAAAAAAAGGTGACAAAGCAGAGTATACAGAACAATCTTATTTGGGGGGAAAAATATCTATACCTATACATGTCACATATATAGGTAGGGAGAAAAACAGGAGAGTAGGTAGATGTAGAAATACATTTTCATGCAGAGAAAAAGATACAATGGTTAGACTCCAAAATGCTAATAATGGTAATTCTGTAAGACAGGATTATGTGTGCTTTTGTTCTTTCTCTTTGCATTTTTATATTTTTCAATGATAAACATGTATGGCTTTTGTAACATGAAAATATGTTATCTTTAATTTTTTGAAAGACAGTATTACACAGCATTGCAAAGCTAGCTTTATTAAATTAATGAAAGTCACACTTTCAACCAGTAACTGTTTTCAAAACAAGATTAACTTTTTTGTTCTATAAGAAATAGTGATGATGGCCGGGCACGGTGGCTCACGCCTGTAATCCTAGCACTCTGGGAGGCTGAGGCAGGAGGATCGCTTGAGCCCAGGAGTGTGAGGCTGTGATCACACCACTGTACTCTAGCCTGGGCAACAGAGCGAGACTGTTACCAAAAAAAAAAAAAAAAAATAGCGATGGTAAGAAGTGAGAACTTCATTTAATGTTTAGTCAAGTTGGGTCTACTTTGAGATATGGATAGAAATCTAATCTAGAAGGTAGAGTAGTTCAGGTTTCTAGAATCTTGGGGTTGAATGGTGAGGAAAGGAAGGTATTTTACTGAAAAGCCTAAGCACATCCCTCAGGGTTTGCTTCCTGGTACCTGGGCTCTGAGCCCATTCTACTGCGGGAAGGGGTCTTTACCTGAGTGGCTTGAGCCAGGGAATCCTGTGTGACTTTGGTCAGTTTCCGTAGATATCGTCCATAAATCACAGCAATGATGGACATTGGAGGTACCACGCTCAAAACAAAGGTGGCCAGATTAGGTGAGACAAAAAACTGTCAAAAACAAAAAGTCAAGAGGTGTTTGTTACGTAGAGTGGCAAGACAGTCTCATTACCCACTACAGGGGTATGGGGGGGGGGAGTGTTTAAATTAACAGCAGGCTTGAAGGTGCTATCTACAGATTGTGCATCCTGTTTAGGCAGAACTTTTCAGACGCCTTTAATCAAAACCTCACGAGTATTCAGCATGCCACGTAAAAGTAATGTGACAGCTGCTGAAAGAAGGGTGGAAACATTTTATCCTCAGACTGACACTACGTATATTAGATCATGCCGGTCAACAGTAGAGAGGAGACAGGACAGGAGTCCAGCAGGGAGGCCTGTTCTGCTCCATACTGGCCAGCCACACCAGGAGTTCTGTGTTCAAATCTGGATCACCTCAAGGCACTAAGCAGCCAGAGCAACGTGTCCAATGGGAATGACCAAGACAGCAAAGTTGCCCCAAACCCAACAAACAATTGAAGGAGGACTTGAGTGACATGAGTAACAAGTACAAGAGTTAGAGCTGTTTTCATGGCCCCATGGACTGAAGTCAGCAGGAAGGATCTGGGCTCAACATAAAGAGAAGCTTCTAACAACTGGAACTGCTCAAAGCATAACCCAACTTCTAGAAGTAACAGTGGATTTTCCTGTCAACCCTGAAATTTGGTGATTGTATTTTAAATGACCCTAGCACATCTTCAACAAATTATTAAAAATCTGCCAAATATCATTTGCACAGAAAATAGTGTAATCAGTACAAGCTTCTCTTAAATAATGCTAAGGAAAAGTTGCAGACTGAAATGTAAGGTAGTGGATGGATAAACCAACCATTCACTCATTTATTCATTCATAAGTTGTCACTGAATGCCTATGCACAGCTAGCACTATTCTAGGCACCTGGACGATAACTGACCCTCATGGAGTTTTCATGCAAGAAGAGAGAAGAGATGGGACTAAGACAACAACAAATGAGAGAGAGAGAGTATAATTTCAGGTGTTCCACCAAGAGGAAAGAGCAGGTGCACAAAGGCCCTGGGGCAGAAAAAAGCTTGGCACCTCTGTGGAAGAGCCAGCAGGAGCTTATAGGAAAGTCCATCAGGACACCTGGGACGAGCCTGGGGGAGCACAGTTATATCTCTGATGGTCACCATCAGGACACCCGAGAGCAGCAGGGCAGGCCTGACAGTGCTGGGGCCTGAACACAACTGATCCTAAGTGGACCCACTAAACAGGTATCCTCTGTGGTAGGCCAGGCACAGTCCCTCAGGATTCTCCATAACCCTGGTGAATTGTTCCAGAGCCACGTTCCTCCCTTCCCTCTGGTGCTGTGCTTAACAAATAACCTTCTGATGACTAATGCAGGGTCCTGGCACCAGAATGGAGTGTTCGGGACAGCAGAAACATACATCTTAATGGTATGAGAGGGAGGTCCATGATGTAATCAATAAATTGGCAGTTATTGGCAAATTTTAAGTATGTCTGGAAAACTTTGGTATGTCAAACTACTTTTGCAATTGCACATTTTATGAAACCTAAATATAGATCATGTATTTCCAATGAAAATTTAGCATCTGGATTGAGATATTCCATAAATATAAAATACACAACAGATTCTGAAATTCAGTTGACCCTTGGACAACATGGGTTTGAACTGTGTGGGTCCACTTATATGTGGATTTTCTTCCCCCTCTGCCAGCCCTGAGACAGCCAGACCAACCCCTGCTCTTCCTCCTCCGCCTACTCAATATGAAGACAATGAGGATGAAGACCTTTACGATGATCCATTTCCACTTAATGAACAGTAAATATATTTTCTGTTATGATGTCCTTAATAACATTTCTTTTCTCTGGCTTGCTTCATTGTAAAAATACAGAATGTAATACACATAACATACAAAATATATGTCAATCGATTGTTTATGTTACAAGTAGGGCTTCCAGTCAACAGTAAGCTATTAACAACTAAGTTTTTTTTTTTTTTTTTTTTTTGAGACAGAGTCTCACTTTGTTGTCCAGGCTAGAGTGAGTGCCATGGCGTCAGTCTAGCTCACAGCAACCTCAAACTCCTGGGCTCGAGTGATCCTTCTGCCTCAGCCTCCCGAGTAGCTGGGACTACAGGCATGTGCCACCATGCCCGGCTAATTTTTTATATATATATCAGTTGGCCAATTAATTTCTTTCTATTTATAGTAGAGACGGGGTCTCGCTCTTGCTCAGGCTGGTTTTGAACTCCTGACCTTGAGCAATCCGCCCGCCTCGGCCTCCCAAGAGCTAGGATTACAGGCGTGAGCCACAGCGCCCGGCCTAACAACTAAGTTTTTGATGAGTCAGATGCCATACACAGATTTTTGACTGTGTGGGGGTTGGTGTTCCTTCCCATATGTGGTTCAACAGTCAACTGTAATATGAAAAAAATATAAAATATCTCATTAATAATTTTGATATTAATTACATGTTGGGATAATATTTTGTTCACACTGGGTTAAACGAAACATTACTTGAATTAATCTCATCTCCTTCTTTTTACTTTTTGACACATGGCTGCACCGCATCTCCACTGGCCAGCAGCACTGGTCTAACAGAAACGCTGGGACAGGTTTGAGCCACCCAGTTAAGGGAAGGAAGAAAGGCCCTGGGAGTGAGGAGAGCTCCCCCTACAGGAATAAATCTGCTAACGGGAACTGACTCTGCTCCACAGCCCCTACCGGCTCCTTCTACTCCTTCTACCAGAGGCTCTTTTCTGCCCTCACACCCTGGCCACACCTGTTCTCAGAAACCCAGCAGCAAAGCAAGAGTGCATTTCCCTGACATTCATTCATTCTGGAGAGCTGGAGGTGCAGGAGGCCACGCAGGGAGAGGCACTGCCACACCCCCGCAGCCTCTAGGAGGGCGCTTTTGGTGCCGTGCACTTTCAGGGTGGCGAGAACAGCTCAGCTCGAGCCCATCTCACGCTCGAGAGGCCCTGACTGGAAGGTGCCCAGGGGAACCAGGCTGACATACCATCATACTGATCCCCACGGAAGCCTGGGCCCCAGCCCTGAGCCCATCTGAGAGGTTTTCAGTCACCGAGCGCCCCAGAAGTGCCGTGTCAGAGGAGAGGCGGTTAATCAATTCTCCCGTGCGGGTCTTGTCAAAGAAAGCGACCTCCTGCCTCAGAATGGAGGAGAATAATGAAGTTCTCAACCTATTCACAATGCGCTGACCTGCAAAAGCAAACAGAAACGGTCTCATGTTGGGGACTGTCATCCGATACCATGAAGGGGCAGCCACCTGCTATGTGGCAACTTGGCCTGGCGCAACTCTGCTGAGCACTGTGTCCCATTGGCGGGAAGAGACTAACTCAAGCCCTGGCGTAATAACAGTCAAGCGTTAGTAACAAACACTACTTTTCTCCTGGTAACCACAGACTGTGGGCGCTAAGGGGAGGATACAGGGATAAAGTAAATATAACACGATAAAGAGATTTTTTTTTAATTATTATTTGCAAAAAAGTTTTACTATATTAACTTCCAAAAGCTCATTTTGTTCCTCCCTGGCAACCCTGTTCTGTATTGAACCTGCAGATGGCAGGAACTGGTTAATTATCCACAGAGTAATTTATTAACTAAATGGGGAGCTACAGACTTCCAGTGGGTCTCCTGGGCTCTCTCATTATTGTGGTGGTTACTGGCCTGTAACGACGAGGCCTCTCACAGAAACACTGTCAAAGTTACCATCCCAGCTCCTTGAAGCTATGACGGTAACTGAATCTGAAGCTCCTCGAAGAAGGCTTGGAAGTCCAGCCTTATGGCCAAGGGCCTTGCTCTCAAACCTCCCATAAGACATAAATGGCAATTTCCCTAACTGCTCAACTCCAACCACATAAAACAAGAGTTAAGAAAGAGTACTTGACCTAAAACAATCCATAACTCCAACATCTGGCCAAACGTTGGGATCTGTCCCCAACTTGATGCCTACGTTGGGAAGAGAGGGAGAGAATGGGGCCTGGAGCACATGAACTTCGAGGCCTGAACCCACCCACAGGATTCCCCTGCTTGTTCTTTAAGATGACTTGCTCCCTTGACATGAGAGACTGTTACCTGAAGTTTGCATGAGGTAGACACGGATGGCGTTGGCAGCAGCGCCACACAGAAACACGCCGCTGAGCCCAAGGCAGAGGCGGGTCAGGTTGTTGCTGTAGTCCACAGTGGGGTTGGTATAGATGACATCAATGATCTTCCCCAAGAAGAAAGGGGCGGACATGGTGATGACACTGGACATGGCCAGAAATCCAACCGCAGCTGGAAAACACGAGCACAAGCTCACTCGCAGGGTGCAGGGGCAGACGGGCGAGGGGCTGCGGCCAGAAGGCCTCCCTTCCACGTGAGCTATTTCCAGAGTGTGTGTGTCGACCTCAGGTGCTAGCACTTCCCTCCCTTTCACTCCTGGACCCCCACCCCAGGGAGGAACCAAATGGTTCCAAGGTGCGAACAAGCAAGGGACTGTTTGAAGTGAGTGATCCGATCGAGCCCGAGCCAGAGAAGACAGCTTTCTGGTCTGATCACCGTTTCCTCACCAGGAAATACAGAGAGCCAACTACAGAGCCCTGTCCTGGCCCCCCTCCCTGGCTGTTGATCTTGGCGTTCAGCTTAGGTCACGTTTCTCCTCCATTCGTGCTGCACAGTGTTATTTATCCCTTGGAATCTACCTGTACTGTGGCGTGAATATCAAGCTGTCCAGGTAAGGCCCTTGATGACGTCTAACATTTCAAAACACTCTGGATAAACTTGGAGGAAAGCAGTTTCAGGGATCTACTACACATGTAATATGTTCCTGCTTAATATTATTGCTTTGGGGAATATTAGCATGATATGAAAATAAACATGAATACAACTGTTTGACCTAAAGAACAAAGGGGATAGAATCTTATCAGAAAGAAAAATCCAATTAGAAATAACACAAAGCCCCCCCCCCTTTTAAGGGGGGAACATTTTGAACAATCGCTCTCTCCCCCCCTTTATTTTAATATCCCCTCCTCAAAAAGGCCTGCTCTGACCACCTCACTTAAAAAACAGATAACACCCTACACTCCCTCTTCACTTGTCTTCTGGACCCTCCCACTTCCCAGCATTCTAAATAGTTCACTTGTTTATTGTTACTGTCTGTCTCATCTCTCCATTAGGACATGAAAGATTTTGGTCTGATATGTCAGTGATTGCCTATAGTGACAGGCACATAGGAAGAGATCAATCCACATTTGTTGAATGAATAAATGAATGATCTGAATTTTGGCAAAGTAGGCTGAAAAGTCTATCAGAACAAAGTTCTTCAATATCCTAAACAGGAGTGTAAGATCTGGCAGCCAGAAAAGTGCATGCATCTGGCTCAAAACCCCATAATCACAATCTAACTGAATAATATAAACCTGGTCAAGGGCCATTTCATTGCTGCAAAGCACCAGGCTCCTATGACAGTCTCCAAGCAGGACTGAAAGTGCTAAGAGCAAGGAAAGTGTCTAACTCGAGGTTCTGCACAACTCAGCCACGATGACCTGGCAGCTCCAGCAGGAGTCTTTCTGGCAAACTCAGGATGCAGCAGAAAATTCTGTTTTTGTCCTTCATCAGTAGTTGATCTCTGTAGTCTATTCTTTTATCTTGGCAAATACTCCTGAAAGTATAATGTATGTGAAGTGCCATAGAGGTCCGTTTCTCCCCTCCTCCTTTAGTTTTCTAAATCAAAGCTGTGACTCCACATAAGAATCTGCATATCATGAATGAAATTCCCCATGATTCCGATTCTGAGTTGGTTGTTACACAGTAATGATGCTGATTACAAGGAAGAAGTAATTTAGATGAATCCAAACTTCTTCCAGGATACCTTCCTCACAGTTTTACTTTTTAATAATAATAAAAAAAATTGTCAGCTTGTTTTAGTGCCAATTTCCTCTTTTTACAATTTGAATGTTAAAAACAAAGTAAAAGACTTTTTCAGTTTTTGCTTAGCTGGATTCTTATTAATCAAGGTTTTACTGCATATCATCTTCTGATATTAATGAAGAATTTAGACTTGCGCCATAAGCATTATTTCAGATTCCATACCAAACCCCAGACAGGAGTGTGCCGCAGCTCTTCTGAAGTTCCCCTCCACCTTTTCCCCAAGATTAAGTCTCTTGACTTGACCCTGCCCAGCCTGCAAATTCCACTGCTCTCTCTTAGCGGGTATCTTCAGCTAAGTTACCCTCATTCTACTGAACAAAGGCATTCAAAGATGAAAAGAAATATCCTTCAAAAGAAAGGAAACGAAAATCTAAAATGCAGGTAGAAGAAGGGCTGTGGGAGATATTTAGCTCACGGAGAGAGGACAGAGGTTTGGGGGTGGGCAGAGAAGTTGTGCATTGTGCCAATCTGCCAAGCTGAACATAGGACCCAACTGGTTGTAACAGGTACAGCTATCCCCACCATCACTCAAGGACTAAAAAGGTAGTACTTACAATGAGTCCCCACCACCACCTGAAGCATCTGATATCCCCCAACAATCCTCATATTATCCTTGTTTTTCAGAGAGGACTCACAAGCATGGAAAGCTGAAGGAACACGCTCAAGGTCTCCCAGTCCACATAACACAGGACCAAGCCTGTCCTCCTAATCTTCCCACAGGCCAAGCAGAAGCAGCAGCACAGGCCTAATGTGGGGGTGAGGGCAGGCCAGGGAGCAGAAAGGCTGGCGGGACATAGCAGGAGCAGAGACCTTGTGGGTACACAGGAAGGAGTGCTGAGAAACAGTTTCCACATTATAAAACAGAACTTTGTGGCAAGGCAGGCTTACAAGTGTTTTATGTAGGGGACTGATAGATTTGCAAATTTAAATGACCTACTCTGGCTGCAAAGCAAAAAGAGAGGCCAGTACAACCGCAGGTGGGGAGATAGAAAGCTGTTCTGGAACCCTGGAATGAACCAGGATGGGGGCAGAAGGATAAAGGACAGTGAGAAGGATTGGAGATACTTTTCCCTTTTCTTTTGAAAGAGGCCTTACTCTGTCACCCAAGCTGGAGTGTAGTAGTACAATCATTGCTCACTGCAGCCTTGAACTCCTGGGCTGAAGCGATCCTCCTGCCTCAGTTTATTGAATAGCTGGGATTACAGGCATGCACCACCACACTCAGCTAATTTTTCTACTTTTTTGTTGTTGTTGTTGAGATGGGGTCTCTTTATGTTACTCAGGCTGGTCTTGACTCCTGGCCTCAAGCGATCCTCCTGCCTTGGCCTTCCAAAGTGCTGGGATTACAGGCATGAACCACTGTGTCTGCCCGGGATTAGAGATATTTTTATTTTTAAGAATCCAACTCTGGTTCTTGGACTCTGGATATGATGACTGGCTGGATTTAGGCAGCAGGTTGGGAGGTCTGGTTCTGAAGTTGGGTCTGACAGGACCAGAACCCTAGTTCTGCCATCTAGCTATTTAACCTTGTGTGAGTCACTCTACCTCTCTGTGCCTCAGTTTCTCCATCTGTAAATTGGCAATAAAAATAATACCTCCCTTATGGAATTGTTGTGAGGAGTGTATTAGACACATATGTGAATCATCTGGCATGGCACCACCTGTTGAGTAAACAAGGAATAAAAGCAGTATCTTTATTGTTACTCTTACCATACAAGAATGGCCTGTGTCTCTGGCCTGGGCCAAAGGTTCACATGGCAGTCCCCCTTGCTGAGACAAAGGACGGAAGGTAGCTTTGGGGAGGAAGGTAACTGGCTTTTTAGACATGTTGGGTTTGAGAGAGTCTGGGAGACACGTCCATGGATGCAGGTGGGTATAACAGGGAACACAGGCATGGAGGGTGTGTGGGAGATGGAGGCTGAGTGAAGGGACCCCACATCTGAGCTGGACCGGAAAGGAAGGGAGGACATGAGGGGCTGACAGATGAGAAGAGACCGGAGGAGGAAATTCAGAGAGTTCAGGAGACTCCTCAGGTTCATGGAGTGATCTGGAAAACAAAGACCCAAGTCGCCATGTGTCTGGCAAAAGGCCAGACTTCCTCTGCCCAGGCTGTCAGCGTGCCCTGCAGAGTTAGGGGTACCCACCCCACAAACCCAGCGGGGCTTGCCTTGGACTGCGGCGCTGTCCAACACACATGGGATGGGAGCCACCTATATAATTTTAAACTTTCGTGTTGTGCTATGTGAAAAATTTTTTTCTAGTTGTCATGCTAAAAAAAAATAGGTAAAATTAATATTTTATTTGACCCAGTAGATCCAAAATATAATCCACATGTAATCAACATAAAAATCGGTAAGATATTTTACATTTTTGCCCTATTGTCTTTTCAGAATCTGATGTGTATTTTATGCTTCAGTCAATTCCAATCAGTCACACTTCATGGTACAGCTATCGCATGAGAATGTTTTTTCTGAAACGAAGTATTTCGTAGCACACACACACAGATTTCCATAGCTCTAGAATAGTCCCAATTTCAAAGGCTCATCTTCCCTGTCCCACAGTGTAGACCTCTGTCCTGACTGGAGAACAGCCACTCCCAGTCTTCGCAGGCATTGTACACCTACTGGTGTCACCACTATATTCACCGTGTCACTTCACGGTCCACCATCATAAAGCAGAACTCCAAACTCAGCAAAAGCTGCTGGCAGGCTTCAGGTTCTAAGAGTGGTCATGATCTCAAACCATACACCCCCTTATCAGTATTTGAAGTGAGAGAAGCCCTCGCAAGTCCTCCACAGGGGGACATGCTGGGGAGAAGGGGGTAGTGTGTACTGCCCACAGTCTAACTGGGAACCTGCCTGGGAAGAGGGGGGCAAGCGTGCTGCCCCCAGCGGCCCACTATGCAAAGAACCTCCAGGCAGCAGCTGTGTTCTAATCTCACAGTACCCTTAAAGGCCTACTCCTAAGACCCTGCCCTTAACCCAGCTAGCCGGCTAGAGCCCCGAGGCCCCCTCTATCTGCCAGGCACAGCAAGAGGGCTGGATGAAGTACAGCTTATCCCATCAGTCCACCACCAGCTCCTCCTTAAGCTCCCCCATCTTTTAAAAAGATTCCTTCTGGCCAAAGTGATAAGATGAAAAGTTATCAGTGAAAAAGGACTCTAGGGACAAGTTGTAGGCCACAGCTGTAGGAAGATAGCTGCAAATTCTTATCCAAAGTGAGAAGGGGGTGGGGGTGTTGGGGGGGACAGGGACAGGTTGCAAGACAGCAGTTTCTTTAGAAGAGGAATGGAAACAATGCTAAGGCTACTCTCAGCTCACATGTGTCAACATTTCAAATGCTAGACTCTGTTTAAAAAGTTTCTGATACCAGTTACTTATCAAAGTTTTCTGGTCACGGTCTGAACGGGAACACTCACAAAACTGCTGAAGACAGATGGAAGCATTATAATTCAAATGAAAAGCTGTGTTTTTGAAAAAGGATTCTGTACTTGGTTTTTCTAAAAATTAACAAGTTAACATTGGAATTCCTTCTCTTCAACTCTTTTTTGATCTCTTAACACACACACACATACACACACGCACCTGTTCTTTATCTCTGGCACTTCAAAAAGATGTGCCAACATCTGAGGCTGCTCTTAGGATGATAAATTAAAAATTAAAAATAAATTACAAATTAACAGTGACCCCCCCAACTCCATCTTAATCCCACAAATGCCAACATCCACATTGACTTTAATATAAATATAATGACTTCTGAGGAAATCATATGCCCTAATAAGGGCTTCTCATGTTATGAGATTTCCTCATAACATACAATATGTATTTATTATCTGTTTAAAAAGCAAAAAAACCAAACAAACAAACAAACAAAAAGTACTGTGCCAACCAACCCTAGGCTTATTTCCTCAAATCATATATTTATAATTTTTCTATTTGGCCAAACAAAATAGCTCCTCTTCCTAAAATAAAAAGATGTAGAAGCCTGGTGCAGTGGTATACACCTGTAGTCCCAGCTACTGGGGAGGCTAAAGCGGGAGGATCGCTTAGGCCAGGAGTTCAAGATCAGCCTGGGCAACTTAGCAAGACCCCCCATCTCAAACAAAATAAAAAGAAGAGGCACTGACTTGCCTTGTTTAAGGCTGTCCCCACAACATACCAGCATGGCAGGACATGTGATGACAGGGAAATAGTTACAGGATAGGCAGTACTGGGCACATGCAGGCACCTAAACAACCTTCCTGACATCTAGTATTTCCAAAACAAAAGTGGATTTCCTTATTCTTATTGAGTTACACGCAGGAGTGGTGGGCACACCCTATAGTGCTTAGGGTCTCCAATGGCCTCTATCTGGGCCTGGAGGTGTGGTCATTTTTTCCTTCACTTAAGGCTCTGTGTCACAAACATGCTAAGAACTGGCGACAGAAAGATGAATTAGACATAGCTCCTGTCTCAAGCAGCTCACAGTCCAGTGAGAGCCCCTAGTCTCCACTTTTAAAAGAGGAAAAGGGAAGAAAAGATCTTTTACATGAAAATCTATATTCGCCTGGGTGCAGTGGCTCACACCTGTAATCCTAGCACCTTGGGAGGATCTCTTTAATTATTTATTTATTTATTTATTTTGAGACAGAGTCTGTCTCTGTTGCCCAGGCTAGAGTGTCATGGCATTAGCCTAGCTCACAGTTACCTCAAATTCCTGGGCTCAAGCGATCCTTCTGCCTCAGCCTCCTGAGTAGCTGGGACTACAGGCATGTGCCACCATGCCCAGCTACTTTTTTCTACATATTTCTAGTTGGCCAATTAATTTCTTTCTATTTTTAGTAGAGACAGGGTCTCACTCTTGCTCAGGCTGGTCTCGAAATCCTGAGCTCAAAGGATACACCCACCTCTGCCTCCCAGAGTGCTAGGATTACAGGCGTGAGCCACCACACCTGGCCTTGGGAGGATCTCTTGAGGCCAGGAGTTCAAGACCAGCCTGGGCCACAGAGCAAGAGCCCATCACCAAAACAAACAAACAAACAACTGAACAATGAAATAATTCTTTATACCTTAAAGAAACCAAGACACCAGCTAAGCTTCCATAGCCAGTGGCAGATGAAACGCGGCCACTCTAACTGCTGTCTACCCGGCACAACAACTCTAAACCCCAAATCACTCTCTAGAAGGATCCTCTCTAAAGCAACAGATTTGTTCTGGTTTTGCACCTGACAACCTCACAGGCCCTCTTGCAAAGCCCTTTCATTAAAGTCGAAGGTTTATATTTGTTTCATTGACATTTCTCCCCACTAAGCTGGAATCCCTGGCAGGAGCAGGGACCATGTATTTTTCTGCCAATGTAACCCCAGGCCCAGCACATAATGAGGGCTCCACAAATTTTTATAGAAGGGAAGAAAATTTAGAGAAATCTCAAAAACTTTTAGATCTTACAAGGACCTCGCACTGAAACATTCTTCCAATTATGGCTAAAAATGAAGAACTATAGAGAATTGTTCTGGCCGAGCGTGGTGGCTCACACCTGTAATCCTAGCACTCTGGGAGGCCAAGACAGGGGGATCATTCAAGGTCAGGAGTTGGAAACCACCCTGAGCAAGAGCAAGACCCCATCTCTACTATAAATAGAAACTAATTGGCCAACTAATATATATAGAAAAAATTAGCCGGGCATGGTGGCGCATGCCTGTGGTCCCAGCTATTCAAGAGGCTGAGGCAGTAGGATTGCTCAAGTCCAGGAGTTTGAGGTTGTTGTGAGCTAGGCTGACTCCATGGCACTCACTCTAGCCTGGGCAACAAAGTGAGACCCTGTCTCAAAAAAAAAAAAGAAAAAGAAAAGAAAAAATTAGCTGGGCATGGTGGTGCAAGCCTGTAGTTCCAGCTATTCGGGAGGCTGAGGCAGTAGGATTGCGTGAGCCCAGGAGTTTGAGGTTGCTGTGAGCTAGACTGACGCCACGGCACTCATTGTAGCCTGGGCAACAAAGCGAGACTTTGTCTCAAAAAAAAAAAAAAAGAAAATTGTTCTGTTTATTTGAATTTTGTTTCTAAAAACATGCATTTAGAGGCTGGGCGAGGAGGATTGTTTGAGCTCAGGAGTTGGAGACCAGCCTGAGCAAGAATGAGAGCCTGTCTCTACTATAAATAGAAAGAAATTAGCTAGACAACTAAAAATATATAGAAAAAAATTAGTTGGGCATGGTGGTGCACACCTGTAGTCCCAGCTACCCAGGAGGCTGAGGCAGGAGGATTCCTTGAGTCCAGGAGTTTGAGGTTGCTGTGAGCTAGGCAGATGCCACGGCCCTCTGGCCTGGGCAAGAAAGCGAGACTGTCTCAAACAAAACAAAACAAAACATGCATTTGGATTTCTTTTAAAAATTACTCAATTACAATTTAGTTGGGTTATGACCTAGCTTCTCAGAGCTTGTATAGTTTACAGATCACTGACTGGCCGGTGTTGGCTGTTCTGAACAGAGTGCAGTTAACTTCCTGCTTACCATTCACAAAGTCAATAGCACTTAGACTTGTCTAGATTGTTTTGCTTTGCGTTGTAAAAATATTGTTCACTGCTTGATAAACTTGCCTGAGGCAAATGTGGTTTTAATAGAGTGTAAATGCATAATAACAAAATAGGCATATTTTTGGCTAGAATTTTTTAAAAGGAAAAAAAAAAAATCTCATTCTGAGAATGCTGCCAACACCAAAACAGATGCTCCCATAAGTTGGTGACAGAACAGACCCAAAGATTCCAATAATGAGCTACTGCACCACTTGTATAACGCGTGTCAGCAAGAAAACACACACACAACAAACCTTCCAACAAGTCCCCAGCTAACCTGAAATCTTGACAATGCTACTCTGAGGTGAGCTCCCTGGCCAGCACTTAGGGTCAGAGTTCCTGTAAAGCCATCCCACCCCTCCTTCGGGGTTACGGGTGGCCCGAGAGCGCAGCGGTGACAGGCTCCGCGACAGTGTCCCCTCTCCGCAGGCCCAGGACTCCGTGCGCGGTGGAGCAGGAGCCCGGCGGCGGGGAGGAGGGCCTCACCTGCTAGCCTCCGACGCTCGGGGTAAGCCAGCCCCAGGAGTTTCCGGGCCTCAGAGAGCCCGGCCGTCGCGGGGCGCAGCCGCCGGTCGTCCCCGGGAGCCGCCGCCGGCCCGCGCCGCCAGGCCTCGTCCCCCGCCCGCGCAGCGGCTGCGGACCGCCCGGGAGCCCGGAGCGCGGCAGTCGGAGCGCCGGCCGGGCGAGCACGCCGCCACCTGCAGGTGCCAGGGGCCCGAGCCCACGGTCCCAGCAGCCGCGCCAGACCCGCGCCGCCGCCCGGGCCGCCGGGACCCGCGATCCTCCCGCGGCGCGCGGCCCCGGCACCCCCGAGGAGCCCCGCGCCGACTGGCAGCGGCAGGGAGCCGGGGGCGCGGGCGGCCGGGCGCCCCGGCACGAGTAGCCGCAGCGGCCAGGCAGGGGGGCAGCGCATGGCGCCGCGTCCGACCCGAGCGCCTCAGCTGGCCCGGCGCGCGGAGCCCGGGCACCTCCCGGCCGCGCCCGAGCGAGGGCGTGGACGCCGTGGCGCCCCGCCTCCGCGCCGGCTGGCGCTCGCCTTATCGGGCCGGCGCCCCCAGCCCATCCCCGTCCGCGCGGCCCGCACGGGCCCCACCCTGCGGGCGGCGACCCGGATCCCGCGCGCCACGCTCCGAGCGCCCCCCACCGCCCACCGGCCGCGGAGCACCGTGCGCGCCGCCGGGAGCGCGCCTCGGAAAAGCCAGGGGCGCTGCTGCGCCTGCGCACTGCTGTTCAGGGAGCTTTTTCGCGCTCCTCCGTCACTTTGGTATGAACTCGGGAGCGGCGCGAGACCTTTCTCACGCCGGCGGACTCGCGGAGCGTGCGGACGCGACCGCACGGACCCCGGCGCGGGGATGGGCCGAGGACGGCGCGGCTAGGGCCCCGGCCACCGGGCAGGCGGCTCTGTCGTCCCGCGCGGAGCACAAGGCTGAGGTGCGGTTCCGCAGGGCGTGTGGCGAAGGCGGCCGGAGAACAGTGGGGCGGGCACCTGAGAGGGGTCCCTGTCGCCGCGTGAGCAGAGGCCGAAGCCGGAGTGCGGTGCAGGTCGGCACACGCGCGTGGGAAGACGGGGACGGTCTCAAAGCTCGCCGGGCGCTGTGGCGACCTCGTAGTGGGGGCGTGTGTGCCTGGGGCACAGTGGGGACACCGGCCCGGTTCTTTCCCAAGTCGTGGTTGAGGAAGGTGGGTAGGTTTTTATGGACTCCTATTTTTACTGGCCCTGGGCGGAGGTTCTCGCCTCAGTTGCAAAAATTATGGATTCACAAAACAAAAACAAACAAAAACCTCAATAATCAGCATAAATATTGAGGTGCAAAATTTTTAAAAAATAATGCAAAAAATCCATAGTAAGCAAAATGTCAAATTTTAAAATGCAGGCTCCACTCCTGAACATGCACAGTCCTGCCTCTCATCCTAATCCCACCCCTAGAAACTTTATTTACAAAAGCTGGCAGTTAGCAACTGCCTTTAGTTTGCTAATCTGACTTTTTAAAAGTTTGCATTACGATGAATTTTGCCTTATTTGTCTTGATTACTGAGACTTTTTAGCACCTCCTTAAATTTTGTCCCCAAAAGAATTCCTCAAGTATATGGTCCTAGTTGGGCCCTGGCAGATAAGGAGTGAAAAGAATGAAATGACAGAAAGATAGTGTGGGGTAAATCGGGCCTCAGATGCACCTGTGAAGTGAGAGGTGAGCCTGTCCTCTAAAATCCAACCTCTTAAACCCTGGGGATGTGGAGTCCCTTCACTCCCACCCCCCAGGTAACCACAGTTTAATTTAGCCTCTCATTTGTGCAGAAATTCTAGAACTGAAGATGTGATGTGAAGTCAACTACACTGATCTGTGAGTAGGAATGTTCTTTTTGGGAAAGATTCTGAGGTGACTTGTGAAAAGAAGAGTGACAGTTCCTCATCATGCATTGAGCTATGAGCCCACCTGAAGAAGTGACATCCTCCCAGTTGAAGACAAAGTGACAATTTTAACACAAATCTAACCTTCCTCTTATTTTGTCTTTCCCCTTTTCCCAAAAACACTTGCTCCTTCAATGGTCAGGAAATGTGGGACTGGCCTTCACTTCCTGCCTTCCCCAGTGTGGTGTCTGCCCCACTTTTTCAGCCTGCCCTCTCTGAGGCCTGGAGTGAACAGGAAAATAACTCAAGTGTAGCTGATTAAAAAACAAAAACCGTTATTTACATTTCTAAAGATCAGAGAAATAATCTGAAAGTAATTATTCCCAACTACAACAAAAATGTCAGGTTTAAAAAAAATCCCACCCAGCTAATCATATTAATATGCAAGGCAAGAAATTTTATTTATTTGGTGTTTTCTTTTTTGAGACAGAGTCTCGCCTGTTGTCCAGGCTAGAGTGAGTGCCATGGTGTCAGCCTAGCTCATGGCAACCTCAAACTCCTGGGCTCAAGCAATCCTGCTGCCACAGCCTCCCAAGTAGGTGGTACTACAGGCATGCGCCATCGTGCCGGGCTAATTTTTTTCTATATATATTAGTTGGCCAATTGATTTCTTTCAATTTATAGTAGAGATGGGGTCTCACTCTTGCTCAGGCTGGTTTCGAACTCCTGACCTTGAGCAATCTGCCTGCCTCAGCCTCCCAAAGTGCTAGGATTACAGTGCCCAGCCTATTTATTTATTTTTTAAAAGACTGGATTTTAGGCCTGGGGCGGTGGCTCATGCCTGTAATCCTAGCACTCTGGGAGGTGGAGGTGGGAGGATCACTCAAGGTCAGGAGTTGGAAACCAGCCTGAGCAAGAGTGAGACCCCATCTCTACTATAAATTGTCTATTTAAAAATAGAAAGAAATTAATTGGCCAACTAAAATATATAGAAAAACTTAGCCAGGCATGGTGGCGGATGCCTGTAGTCCCAGCTACTTGGGAGGCTGAGGCAGGATTGCTTGAGCCCAGGAATTTGAGTTTGCTGTGAGCTAGGCTGATGCCACAACACTCTAGCCTTTGCAATAGAGTGAGACTCTGTCTTAAAAAAAAAAAAAAATTAGTAAATAAAAGACAGGGTCTTGCTCTTTTTCCTGGGCAAGAGTGCAGTGGTGTCATCATAGATCACTGCAACCTCAAACTCCTGGGTTCAAGAGATCCTCCTGCTTTAGCCTCCCGAGGTGGCAAGATTATAGGCATGAGCCACCCAGCCTGACCCAAAGCAAGAATTCTTTACTAGCATAAAGTCTACAGAAAATGTCCCTGGCTATTTAACATACAATGAAGAATGGAGTGGGGAATGAATATTAGCAGAAAGACTACCTGGGCTTACGTAGTCATCATACAAAAAATAAATAAAAATTAAAATAAAGGACTCTGGGAGGCTGAGGCAGGCAGATTGCTCGAGGTCAGGAGTTCGAAACCAGCCTGAGCAAGAGCGAGACCCCATCTCTACTATAAATAGAAAGAAATTAATTGGCCAACTAATATATATAGAAAAAATTAGCCGGGCATGGTGGTGCATGCCTGTAGTCCCAGCTACTTGGGAGGCTGAAGCAACAGGATTGCTTGAGCCCAGGAGTTTGAGGTTGCTGTGAGCTAGGCTGACGCCACGGCAATCACTCTAGCCTGGGCAACAAAGTGAGACTCTGTCTCAAAATAAATAAAGGGAAGAAAGAAAGATGTCCTACTTTAAAAACTATATATATATATATATATGTATATATATATGTATGTGTATATATATATATGAGTTATTGCTTTGCATTGCTATTACCTTCTCTGCCCATTTAAAAATAACTTTTCAGGCTGGGTGCAGTGGCTCATGCCTATAATCCTAGCACTCTAGGAGGCCAAGATGGGCAGATTACTCAAGGTCAGGAGTTTGAAACCAGCCTGAACAAGAGCGAAACTCCATCTTTACTAAAAATACAAAGAAATTAGCTGAACAACTAAAAATATATAGAAAAAATTAGCCGGGCATGGTGGCACATGCCTGTAGTCCCAGGAGGCTGAGGCAGGAGATCGCTTGAGCTCAGGAGTTGGAGGTTGCTGTGAGCTAGGCTGACGCCATGGCATTCTAGCCCAGGCAACAGAGTGAGACTCTGTCTCAAAAATAAGTAAATAAATAACTTTTCACTGCCTCTTTAGAAATTAGAATAAAATTCCTCCTTTCAGGACATTTGGGAAAGCACAAAGCAAGCTGCTTAGATGCGAGTGGATTAGTAGTATAAAATACCAGAGCAGAAAAGGCTCTTTGCAGAGGTGTGACTGAACCAAGAGGTAAAATGTAGCCCTTTGTGAATAGACCCTTAATAGGTTTAGGGGCCATCAGGTGTCGAATTCAAAAGTAACATCTGATGCAACTTGAGAGCAGTTGGGATAACTTCAAGAGCATTCCACGTGCAGGTGCTGGTCCCTTGGAAAGGGCAGCAAAGGAGGACCATGTGGACCACAGGAAGGGGCACATGGCACGCACAAGAAGCAAAACAAAGGCTTCCTGGCTTGTGGTTTGTGGTGTGATGCGGGGAGGTCATTTGAACCTTAATTAGTACATTTCCCTTTAAGTCAAGGTTGTGGCTCATTCTGTCAAGGACAGGGTGTCAGGATGGTGGCTGAAGATGAAGCATGCAGCTCAGTGAAGCACACACCAGCAAAGGCCTGGATCCACTTGGAGCAGAAGTGCATTGTAAATTCCTATGAAGAGATTAAAATGGAAGGTTCTGGTAACTTACGTGTGCTTAATAGTGAATTCTGAAACTAACTTAGCAATATGACATGGGCATTGCACTTGATCAGTGCAGTGTACAGGTAGGAGACTTCAGCATCTTCAGCTTTTACAGTCTTTCACCTTCTTCCAAAAGAGCCCAAAGAAATGTTGTTATGGGTTAATTGTGTTCCCCCACAATAAGATTTCTAGGACTTTTGAAGATAGACTTTATTTTTAGAAAAGCTTTAGGTTCACAGCAAAATTGAGTGGAAAGTACAAAGAGTTCCCATATTCTCCTGTTCCCCCAAACCTAGCCTCCCCTACTATCAAATGTACTCTCAGAGTGGTACATTTGTTACAAATTGATGGACCTACATTAAAATGTCATTATCAGTCAAAGTCCATAGTTTACATTGAGATTCACTTGTGATGTTGTACAGTCTGTGGGTTTGGACAAATGTATCCACCATTATAGAATTATGTATCCACCATTGTATTAATAGTATCATACAAAGAAATTTCACTGCCCTAAAAAATCTCTGTGTTTTGCCTGTTCATCCCACCCTTCCCGGTAACCCCTGGCAATCACTAATGTTTTTATTGTCTCCATGGTTTTGCCTTTTCCAGAATGTCATACAGTTGCAATTATATACTATGTAGACTTTTCAGATTGGCTTCTTTTACTTAGTAATATGCATTTAAGTTTCCTCCATGTCTTTTCATGGCTTGATAGCTAATTTTCTTTTTAGTGCTG